CCATGCGCGCTCACGATTCTACGGAAGCCGGCAGACCAAACCGGAAGAAAGTGCGCATTCAGCATCTGGTCTGCCGATAATGCAAGCGTAGAAGAAGAAATGTGCTGTTTACCTGTGCAAAGAAAGAAACAACGAAAGAAAAATGTCTGAGGACTTCAGTGTTGAGGAAGAGCATGAGTTCTTTGCCGAGCTGAATGCGCTGGTTTGGTCTGCCGGCTTCCGTAGAATCGTGAGCGCGCATGGGGGCGCTATTAGGAAATCCTATACACTACTGTTTATGCTCTAAAAACATTCTAAATGACTTCGTTTCGAGTAAATTCTGGATGCTACCCACTCAGGACACTTGGATTACATTGGACGAGCAGTATGGAGGAATATTGACACGTTTTTGTGGACTTTTATGGACCTTTCTGTGTCGGGCGCCATGGACCTCCATTATTTGAATGTCAGCAGACAGCAAGAAGCCTCCCAGATCTCCAGATGCATTTGAGATATCAAAAAAGTACTCCAGAGTGTTGTTCAGCATGGAGGTGAGTAGAAAATGAAGGCTAATCATGTTTTGGGTGTACTATTCCTTTAAGTCAGAGTTAACGTAAAGGCTCTGTTTGAACTAGCCACAGTTCCCTGTAATGTGTATTTATTCAAATCCTTAAACAACCGACTCTTTTAGAAGGGATTTTATCTACCTCTGCAGCATCTGAATTCTGTGAGGCCGCACACAGCAAATCAGCCCCGGTCCGACCACACGGCGCTTCAGACAACTGAAAAATAATCAGATACTGTCTTACCACACCGAAGCGTCGGGCCGAAACGGATCAATCAGGACCAAACAGCCGTCCGCCGAGACTCCAGAACCGGCACGAGCCCCCAATTGTAAAGGAAGAAAATATTCTAACATAGTTAACTTTGGAAAAAGGTTGGCTTCTGATTCTTCCCTTCCCCAGGTCCACTCGGCGAGCTGCGTTTGGTAATAAAACCAACATTGCGTGTTGACATCACAGAATTACAGAGTTTAATCCAATATAAGACAATGCATAAACTTAGAAATAAGACAATGCACAAACCTACACCAGAAACTGCAGAACAACAGAGACATACATTCCATTACCTGACATAGGAGGAAAGAAAGCAAAGACGTACAAGACATCTTTGGAGAGTTTGCAAGAGCAAAAATCTGATCTTTTTCTTCTAATTAGAAAGCTTTATCCTCTTGTATCTAATCCATTCAAAAAGGGGCTGGCCCTCGGTCCTCCAATCAAACGCCATCTCTGACACTGCTAGGGCTTCCCCTTATTTACTGCAAACATCTGGGGTCATTTGCTTCTTTGTTTTAACAAGAAAAGGCGGAAAGCTTGTCCTGGCATCTAGCATTCCTAAAGTCATAAAACACAAGATAAGCTCTCACAGACAGCTTGTGGAATGTGGGGGGCCTCACTTTTGACCTTCTGTAAACCAAGCAGAAATCTCTCCTGCAGGCTTAACTGTTATTCACCCCCCAGGAGATACTCATTCTATGGGCTGGTGGTCTAAATACTTACCCATTAGTAGTTTTAAATCATTAACACAGCCTTGTTCAAAATTAAGAAATATGTTCAAGTGAGAGTGTTTACACATGCCATAAGATTAACTGTATTAAAGTCTAAAAAATAATAATTTTTCTTTAACATAGGACATGTCCGGGAAAAAGAGGATGTCTGGTCACCCTACCATATCAACAATTTATATGTTTCAGTGAGTGAGTGCTTGTTGCTATGATGCGTCGTTGCTCAGCATCTTTGCTCATTGTAAATCAACCAAACAGCGCACAGCTCATCTAAATATTCATGAGCATACCATAAAAGGAAGAAAATGTGGCGTTTCATTCTAGGGCTTTTAAGCAGCCTTACATTGGGGCTCAAAGAACAGCAAATATGCCATTTTCAGCCCAAACAATGTTACACACTCTATTCAGAGACCTTAAAGGGGAACACCGTTTTTTCTTTTTTACATTGGCCCCTTGATTTTACGTTATTATTATCATGTTCTACTCAGCCATATCAGTTTTGTGTCATTTGGAGCTGTTCCGAAGATATTCGGTTTTGTTAAATCCAAGTAACGTGTTCCTAGTCTTCCTATGGGCAACGACTTGAAGGTACAAACTAAACTGTTCATAATTTATCATTTATGATATGCCAGCATTCATAACATGTAGGTTAATCACTGTCCCCCAGACATCCGTGGTTATATTTTTTATATTTATATGTTATAAAAACAAAGCGGCGCGTGTATGACATCCGCGCGCCAGACTGGAGTTGTGACAGTCAGCCCGGGCCACAGGCGGCTACATTCCACCCCTTCTATTTATTCGGCTAGCTAATCTGAATAGTTCAATTCCATTTCGAGAGCGAGATCATCTGTGGTAGTAGCACTAGACATCTTCCAGGCATGTGAGTAAAACTAGCAGCAGTTTAGCGGACAGGAAGAATGAACAGTAGCCGGCGCGGGCGGATGACATCATACATATATAAATCTAAAAAATATAACCGCAGATGTTTGGGGGACAGTGATTCACCTACATGTTATGAATGCTGGCGTACCATAAATGATAAATTATGAACAGTTTAGTTTGTGCCTTCAAGTCGTTGCCCTAACAGGGCTCTGAGTGCTGGAATTCTTACTGGTTGGTTGGTGTTCTAAGACTAATGCTGTGAAATTAAGAAAATGTCATTTAAGAAGGTCAAATTTTTTTAATTCACCAAACATCTTTATGAAATAATCGCAGTTCAAAATGAAGAAAAAAATTCATTCTGCTTATGAGGGAAATGCATAAACATTTCTATTGAAAAACACATATAGAGCGACTATAATAAATATTTTTTTTGGAAAAGGCTAGTATAGATCAAACAGAAATGAAAAGTATGACTCAATGGAAATACCACGAGACAAGTGGACTCTTATCTTAAGTTTGAATTCACATGACTAGCACCTGACTGCTTAGATGTATTAAGCAATAGCACCACTCTTGTTGATAAGTATAGTAAAATGCATAAGGAAGTGTGCTGGAAAACAATTTACACAGATGTTTGCATACGTCAAATCTGTAAATTAATCAATGGATAGTTTTTAATAAACTGTTTTACAATAAACTATCATTTATACTTACCCATGATTTTTGAATTATTATTTTTATGATTTTATTATTATTATTTGTTGATTTTTCTTATTTCATGGAAATATTTCATTTTTTTGTATTCTTTTTAAACTCTCTAAGGTACATTTTATTATTGTTTCTTCAGCTGAGATGTTCCGTTTATTTAAACAATGAAAGTACTACTTTTCGTATTTCATCAAGATTTGGTTGTTTTATTTAAAGGGTGCCAGACAGTCAATACATCATGTACAGAGAAAAAAAGACTCTACAAGATCACTGAGAGAATGAGGAACATATTTAAATGCAAGGCAAAGAGGACAATCTGTCAACCGCACAGCTGAGTTCTACAGCAGCTCCTTTTAAAGTGTATGACATAGTCGGTAAACTGTGTGTATAGTAAGGGTGTGCAAAATAATCATCATGACGATGCATCGCGATTCTAATTTTTGTGATCTACTGCATCGATTCTTGAAGGCAAGAATCGATTATAAAAAAAAAATAATAAATGAACAAATAAAATACATGAATGGTTGGCGCACATCAGCCAAACCAAGTGGAATACAACTTGCAGTCCAGCAGATGTCGCTGCGGATGTGTTGACTCCCGCTGCCTTGTGTCACAAGCATGACCGGCCGTGGGATACTACTGCGACAAGTCATATGCAATAAAACATGGAGGACATTTCAAGTCAGATTCTTGGATGCATTTGGGCTTTAAAAACAAAGAAGGTAAAAACAAAATTGATATGACGCTCGTAATTTGCAAAAGGGGAAATGTCATACATTTGAATGTTTTCATTTCATTGGTTTAAAGGACCACTGAGGCCATGTAAACAGCACTGATTATCCTTATTTTGTTATTTTAAATTTGATGAATCCTAAGATCTTTTTGTCAGTGTGTCCACGCCAGTAATAGTAATATTTCTGTCCAGTATTTGTTTTCATGGCAACACCTCCAAAAGTAATTTCAATAAATACAGCTATGTATGAATTCAGTTGCTTTCAGTTATGTATCAGTTGAAGACACCATCCAGATCACACCCAGCCAGTCAGCCACTGGTAAGGGCTGTATCTTTTTCTTACATGTTCAGTGAAAATATCGCGATGCATCGCAATATTTCAAGTATCGTGATACATTGTGATTGAATCGCATCGTGGCATGTGAATCGTGATTCGAATCAAATCATGACTTCTTTGCCAATACCCACCCCTAGTGTGTATATATATATATATATATATATATATATATATATATATACATACGCACATAATTTCATTACATTGTTAAGCTTTTGTATGATGAACAAGTTTCTCTCAATAAATGAAAATACAATTCTAAAGTTAGATTATTTAATTGAATCAAAAACTAACTTTATCCAATTAAAGAGCTGGTTTTGAAATAATAATAAAAAAAACTTGTATAATGCTGGAAGCATTGTGCTTTGTGGTCGAGTATCTTTGTTTCAGATGAAAGTAAATTATGTATTTAATTTACAAATCAATTTCATTGAATCATTAAATAAAATAGCCTTCACATGCTAATCTAGCTTGTTGTAACAAAAATGCATGTCTTGTCAAATACCACAGTAACAGTTCTGGGAGTGTCAGATCGGCTAACTTTGTACAAATAAAATATCTTAATGACAGTAATGTATTCACAGTCGATGGCAAAACACGTCAGAACACCCAAATGTAATCAAAGCTGCCGAAGTCAGTTTGCAAACTGAAACAATCCCACTTCCTACATAAATGGAAATATTTACAGGACTGTGCGAGCACCTTTAAATGTAATTCCATGTCATAAAGAACAAGTCAGTGGAAAGTTCACATTGAAATAACAGGTTTAAGACAGAATTCTTATGTCCATTCTCTATCCTGGTGAATCATAGAAAACAGTTCATTAAAATTACAATAACTATGTTTTAGGTTGTTTTCATAATTTGCATAAAACAATAATAAATCTAGGCATCATAAAAACAGGCAGGTTAAAGGTATTCTTGATTCTAATCACAATCTATTCGTTTAGTCTCACAACTTCACCGTTGATATTTACGTCTACCTACTAGTTATTAAAAGTATGGCATACATATCCAGACTAGTGTTTCCTTGCAATTAGACACTCGTTCTGTAACATAAACAAAAATAAAAATCCTCTTATGTGGTCCTGAGGGTTCAAGGCCAGTGACATATTATCTCGTGGAAGGATAAGGAGGGGCAAAGCAAAGGGTTCAATGTCTATGTTTGAAAATCTCTAACTGTTTGCTTCACTGCCAGCCCAACTGGGGGTGTAGTCCTGGTTGGAGAGGGAAAGGGTTTCCGGGGCCCGGAGGGTAGCTTGGAAAGCTGTTGGACTGAGGAGGGAAATTCTCCAATGCAGATGTTGGATGAGCCTAAAATAAATAAGACAGTAGGATTGTTTTTAGCCTGCCGAGCTGACAGAAGATTCTTGATCACAAAATATTGGTTTTAATGGAGCTACCTGAAGCAGAGCAGATGGCATCGCTGGGTCGTGGAGGCTGCTGAGTGCAGCAGCTGAAGCAGAGGGAGTGAAGCCTGGTACTGTGGGGAAAGACAGCAAGCCAGGGAATCCACTACCTCCTGGAGGCTGAAGTCCACCAGTCAAACTGGAACACACAGAGTTATGATTACATGGTGGCAAAAGCATGCAACTTTTCAAGAAGTACAGCTGATATCGATATCCGATATAAATGCTGCTGTCATGGCCAGGATTGGATATTGACAAATATAAATGCCAAACAAATACAATATGCCCAACCCCATCTCCCTTCTACTTTTAGAAGAAAAAATAATAATAATAATATCCAATGCAAAACAAGCCAGGCAGTAGAAAGGTGTCTGAGTTGGATCCTTATGGCATGGACTAAACAGGTCCCCATGATGAGAATCCTAACCACATCCAAAAACATGTGCATTTCTATACCTCGTATTGGGACTAAAGGCCATGGTCAATTAAAACAAAAAAAAACTTTGAGATCATTTTTAGGCTATGGTGTTAAAGGGAATAGTTGTAACAGCAGACTTTATTTGAGAAGTATTTATTTTCTATGTAAATAAATTACAGTAAAAAACATACAGCAAGCTCTTAAGTTTTAAAAATTGTTAATAAAATATTGTCAAATGGACAGCACTAGCTCCATCCAGGCTAAACCTTTTTAGTTTGAACCAGAGTGTGTTGAATTTGCAGAGATCACAAGATATAATGAAGATGAAGAGGATCAAATGGAGGGGGAGGGGAGAGTTGGCTGAAGAAGCTGGTGTTTGTGCAGCTGCTGCTTGTAGATGCTAATCCAGATGGAAAGCTATGCTACCATTTCTCTGGTTTGTAACTGAGGCAGTAGGCATTGGGATCAAAACATTTTCTCCAAGATATCAGAACCATGTAATATAACAACTTTAAGATATTTTACCGGCATTTTAAACAGTTTATTATCTTGCAATTAGATTTTAATTTCAACTTAGTTTCTGCTAGCTCAAGCTAATATAGTAAATAAAAGATCACAATTGTTTGTTTTAACAGATATCTCATGTATAATGGCTCAGGAAAACTAACAGCATCATCAATCCAGCAAGCATTGCACAGGTGAAAAAACTAGACCTCCATGGTTGACAAAGGATGTATAATTTATTGTGAGTTTTTACATATCGCAAACAGACATTTTTAAATGTTTAAATTAAAAGGAAAGTTACAAAATGTCCATCTAGTCGTGGATCGCTTTAAAAATTGTTCAACTGGTATTATGGGGTCCATATTTTGGCAAAAAATATATCCGTTAAATAAATATTCCACACAATGGAATGGATCAGGTAATTTAAGTAATGCGTCTGATCCTACCATCTGAATGTCATGGATGAAGATAAGATAAGATCAGGCAACGTGTCTCTAGTCTAGTCTGTGATGATATGAACCTTGTTTTCATGAATCTGTTGTTGAGCGATCGTCTCAAACCAGTTGCTTTTTCACTGAAGTCAACAAGGTAGTTTTTGTTCACATAATTACAACTCATTTGGATAATTTCTCTATTTTCTATAAAGTAATTAGCAGTTTCTGGCACACAGACCAGTCCAGCCATCGCCTACCACCAACCAAGTCACGGCCCCAGTCAATTCAGTGCCTTCTCTCTGAAGGTAACTTCGATCAAATAGAAAGTAACTGTCCATATATGCTTGAATGCATAGTTTCTGGATTAAATTTTTTTCTTAACAAAAAAAAGAAGAAAAAAAAAGAAGAAGAAGAACCACATTTCAGTATGTCATCCGAAATATCTGTTTGTATGTATCTTAATAACTTAGCATTTTAAGTTTATTAACACCTGTGCAAAACATTTTCTTATTGTTACATAATATGCCATTTAGGCAGTATGTTTCTCTGCACACCTGGTTTCTGCTGTTGTTTAAATATCGTTAAAAAATTACAAATGGATAGTAATCTGTAAGTTATATATATATATATATATATATATATATATATATATATATATATATATATATATATATATATATATATATATACATATATATATATTTTCATCATTGTTGTTATTTTTAATAGTAATAGCAGTACCAGTGGTACTAGTCCTATTTTTTCCTTATTAAGTTGGTTGATAATAATTGTTGGCTTCTATTTACTCTTTCCCGAGTGACATACCTTCTTTTCCAGAGCATGAAATTGCATCAAAAGGTTTGGCTTGTTGTTCCTTGACTTGTTCAGTGACAAGATAACAGCAAATATAACTGTGAGTAATCACTCTGCAGGGCTAAAAAAAAAAACACTAAAAAAAGGACTTTGCACTGTAAAGAATAAGCTTATGTCTCATCATGGAAAAAGACCGCTGATTTACAAACTGATTTTTTTTTTCAGTTTACAGGCAAATGGAAATCAACGTCACATATTACAGCCAATTGTGTGGTTATTCCACTCGCTATTTACTATGCTGTTTTACTGCAAGACGATCAAATGTTAAATATTACAGCCTTTTAAAGTCTAATTTCTTAATTTTTGTCAAAAGGAAATTAATAAAGTGCTATATATTTCATTCCAGTTTGAATGTGATTATTCGGTTTATATGTCATAATATATGTATTATACATTTTCATAGATGTAAGTAGAGACTGTCTGCATGATGAAAACCAAATATATAAAATGAAGTAACTGATTCCAACCAATTTCAGGTCAATATTTTTTTATAACAATGACATTTATCTGTGCAGTGACTTACCATTCATAAGTCAATATGATACTCCAGCCAGCTCACTGGTAGCAGCAGTACATCGGAGAAGACCAAGGCTGCAGCTTTGAATTCTTTTTATATAATAGTATTTGTGTGCAAATCTCAATTTGCCAATTTTGAAATTAACTGTGTTGTTTTGTGAAAAATGTCCTATTTTAGACATTTTCAGCAGCTAAACAAAGAACCATCTACTTCAGTAAATAGTTGTAATAAATTGCAAACAAACTATAATCTCAAAACTAGCACCCTTTAATTATATTTTTAGGTTTAACTGAGTAAAAGCATTTAGCATTGATATCAATTCTTTTTTTTTATGCCTCTCGGAAAAGATGAATTCTTTCCATACAATTTGTAGACCTAATCAGCATTTCCTACTTTAGGAATCACTGCCTTAAACCCAGATCTTAGGCCTAGGCTGTGTTTTACAGATATTACTGTCTTTCCTGTGACACTATATTGATCTTTGCCTTTCTCCTTGCTTTAGCTTAGCTTTAATATAAGAAAAGAAGCTACAGTTTAATGGCCTAACCATCAAAATTTCAGGGAAAAATTTTTATTTGCACCCTGATTTATTAGGAAATACAGAAGTGGAAGGTGCAGATACATGCCGTGACACTTAACTTTTTTCTTTATCAATAGCTAGGCTGTCTCAAATGTACATATTTTAATACTTTATAAGCTAAATAGCTCTAATGGAATACAAAGTTTAAAAAACAGAGTCTACAATTAAAATTCTTTTTTTATTTCTAATACAAAAGCAGCTGCTTTAGGACTCAGTACAGCTGAAAAAAAATCGAAGTGAAATCACAACTCATTTCAATAGTCTGTTAAAAACCAGGTTACAATTACGTAACTATGTCAACTGGTGAATGATACATTGACCTATATAAATATCTATATTAGGGCTGAAAGATAAGGAGAAGAATAATTGACAAATAATAAAATCTACTAAATACTGCGTTCAAGCAGTCGTTTATGATTGTGATTTTTACAGCTTTTTTTTTTCCAGTAGTCGAACAGACTTCCCAACATCTAAGAAAGACGGTAAAACATTTTGATCACTTTTTTTTTTATCCTAAAATATATTGTCTTTACAACATCCACTAATATCACATATGCCTGTAGCCCAAAACCCTAATTTACAAAGACATAAGGATAAAAATGGCCAGACGACATATTATCATAAAATAATTTCAAAAATGCAGACACATTTTGTTGAATGATGAACTAGTTCATGGAGGAGTTGTTAACTTAGGCTGGATTACTTGACAGGGGAATAACAAAAATACATTTTTAATTTTAAGCAATCAGTTAAACTGAACTTAGAACCAATTCTTTGTATAAGTGGTAAACTGGTGTCACAGTCACCATTTTCCTCCAGTGTATTTCCCATTTGTGTTGCTTGGAAACGAGAACAGTTTGACGAGCCACATGTGCACCAGCTAAATGCAGCGCGTGGTAACAGGTGATGGACGGGAAGTGCTGCGGTACTTTGCTTTGCTATGTAAGCCAAAGAAAATAATCCTAAATTCAGTATTTTCACGTTCTACTCAATGAATAGGTTTAAAAATTCTACATTTTTATGGTGCAGCTTAATGATAAGTGGACCATGCATTGCCTAGCAGCCCATTTTGTTCTCTAAGCGAAAAATGAAGTACTACGGGCAAATATCCTCAGGACGCAGTCCTAGACAAGTATCCAATCGTCCCTGGTCTTAAATTTTGTGCCATATTTTATCTGACTTATGTCATTGTCAGGACTCCCACTACACACCCACAGACAGCTCCCATTATTCAAGAGTTTAATAACACAGAGACACCTGGTGTACATGCATACACCACAATTACATTTCGTTGTGTGCATATGAGAAAAATCAAAAGTTCACGTACCCTGGCTGGAAATTGGAGCTGAAAGCAGAAGCAAACCCAGGTAAGACTGGTGAAGAAGAGGGAACCCCTACTGCGGCTGCCTGCAGTGGGGCCACAGATGCTACTGAGGATTTAGCTGCTCCAGGTAATCCCATAAAGGAAGGTAACACAGGGCTCCTGGTTCCAGCCCCCCCTGATACAGCAAGTCCAGTAAAGTTGGAGGGGTTAGGCCCAGGGGAAAGGCCTGGGAATATAGAGGGGGTAGATGTGAGGCCTAGAGCGAAAGGTGAAGCTGCAGTAGGAGCAGCAACAGGGGCTAAGCCCTGGTAGATAGAAGATGGTGGATGGTTGGGGGAGGGAGGTACAGATGAAGGGATGGTGGCAGAGGGAAGAGAAGAAGATGACAGGGCCGGAAAAGGTGACAGACCTGGATAATGAGCCGGAGCTGGGCTGGATGACATTGCTTGAAGGCCAGTGATAGCAACCGCACTAGGGAGAGACACCTGAGGAGAACCTGAGGGGTGTGAAAGGCCCAAAGAACGAGCAAGAGCGGCCTGAGCAGAGCCAGGTGTCACCAGTGGGCTGATCGACGGTGTACCAGAACGAGATGTACCCTTAAAGGCTGAGGGTACAGGGCTGCTACTGCCACTGTTGTTCCCTCCAGGTTGCCTGTTGAGGGTTCCAGCCAAAACACCCTGAGCTTGGGCCTGAACTGAGTGACTAGGGGAGGGTTTAGGACTGGGTACAGGGGTGGAACAGTTTGGAACACCCGGAGTGGAAGATCTAGGAGTCTGAGGTGAAGGTGTATAGCTTCTAATCACTGAACCAGATGGGTTACCTGGGTGCACACCAGAGAAGCTGGTTCCTGACTGCTGGTCACCAGACTGGGAATAAGCTCTTTGTTGAGCTGATCCTATGGAGTTGGACTGTAACTGCGGGTCCTGGCCACTACGAGAAGAAGCTGGGGTGCCTGGTCGAGAAAGGCCATGGAAAGGGGAAGAAGGAAAACCTCCACTGCCAGGAACAGGAGTTCCACAAGGGGTTCCTGAGGGGGTGTGGGCTTTAATGACAGACGACGGTGTAGGTGTGACATGACCACTGGGGGTCTGTGGTCCGGCTTTGATAACAGAGGGAGATGGAGCTGGGGAAGGAGAGGGGGCATTCAGGTTGTGGGAGGGAACCATGCCAGGGAAAACTGGTGTAATGGGGGTGGTTGGAGGAGGTGGCTGAGCAGGTGAAGCCTGGGGTGGGGCAGGGGTAGAAGGAGTGGATCCATGAGGAATGAGAAGGGGCCCGCTGTTGACTCCAGGTGTGGTGTTCTGGGGATTCCCAGGTTTGGTGTAACCTGGAAGTAAGTAAAGTAGATTATAGGCTGTCAAAAATGATATAATTAAAACCACTATAACAATATGATTATCAATTTTGTGGTTACATTTTTAAATCCAGAATATTTATAATTCAATTCAATTCAATTCAGTTTATTTATATAGCGCCAAATTCACAACACATGTCATCTCAAGGCACTTTACAGTTCAACCAGATCATACAGTCAAATTGATACAAAGTTTTCTATCTAAGGAAAACCAGTTGATTGCATTGACTCATTGACTCAAATACAATCCCCCACACTAAGCATGCTTGTAGCGACAGTGGAGAGGAAAAACTCCCTTTTAACAGGAAGAAACCTCCAGCAGAACCAGGCTCAGTGTGAGCGGCCATCTGCCGAGGCCGACTGGGGTTCAAGGAGACAACAGACTAAAAAAGCCAAACCATTTGCGAAGAAGAGAAAAAAGAAAGGAGAAATAGCCAGGAAGCATTCCTACATGCAGCCTTTTAAATAATAGTAAGTTTTAAAAGGTGTCCCCTTCTTACCTTTGGGGAAATGTCTGCATTATGGCTTCTGGCTGGTTCAGCTCAAATTTATTTTAATCAGTTCATAACCGTTCTGATTTCAACTGCTCGTCAGTTTAACCAAGCTGGAAAATTTTTGTTCCAAGAGATTTCCCCAAAGTGATTAACTGATGTACAACTACATTTACAAAAAAGTTGGAATGTGTTTTAAGATGGAAATAAAGGCAAAGTTTTTATTAGAATTGGATATATTTTTCAGATGTTACTGAGGGGTGGGATCTTCAAAAAGAGCCATCAAATGAACAACTGTTACGTTCTAACTCACTAAATGAGCTTAACTAACTAGTTATCGAATGCAAGTTTTTATTTGACAATGAAAGAAAATCACAAACTTAAACAGATAAAAAAAATTTAGAAGTTCCTGTTATAGATTCTAAAAAGTAAACATACGGTATACGTTTTTTTCTAATCAGGCATTTCGCTCATAGCCTGGAGGGGGTAGGCACCGGCCCAACCGCGACCATGACGAAATAAGCCTGAGAAGTTCATGGATGGTTCATCCAAATTTTTACTTTTAGTTTTTTTTTCCTTTTGCATTTTACTAAACAGTCCAACTTTTTTGAAAACCCAGCTGTAGCTCCAAAAAAGAAAAAAAAAGAAACTGCAATAAGAAAAGAAAAAAAAGACTACCCCAAGCAATGCAAGTTCAATACAAGCGCAGTGGATAATTTTAGAGTGAAAAAGAGAGGGCTGAATTTTGAATCTATTTTCACTTTAAGAATCTTGAACAAACATATATATATATACATATATATATATATATATATACACACACATATACATACACACAACTATGTTTGTTGACCTGTTTTAATAGTTATTTTTATATATAACATATAAGGTCATTTAAAATGAACCTATTTGTTATCAGGAACCCTCTTTACCTTAAACACAAACCATTTATCTAGTTGGGCTTTACTATGTCTATATTTATAAAATCAAGAAACAACATGAGGTGGGCTTTGCATTTATAAGTGTTTAAAGGGTCATTTAATATCTTTTTGACATCTGAATAATCCTTTTTTGGATTCACTTCAAAATATTTAATACTCAGACTCTTCAAATCAGGACAATATCATCCTTTAACGAATCTAGATTCTTCAAATGAGTTTTTCATTAATAATATGTTTATTTTGTTCAAAAACAACAGTATAAGTGTCAACGCTATAGAACCTCAGCTAAACCCAATTTTAGTAATTTGCTGTAAAGCTCGACAATTAACAGCCAGTAAAACGTAACAAAGTTTGAAAGTTTCTTTCATCACTTTGACAGTTATCAAATTGGATGATCAGGACTATATTATCCATCATTGATGTTTCAAGATATTTTGTAGAGAAGAAAGACTTTAATATCAAAATGTGAACTAAATTTGTGAATGCATAACAAAGTTAAATTTTCTGGTCATTAGTGTACTCCAACAGGAACTAAAATCAGTCAGCTGACAAACTGCAGAAGCACAGGAGAGCAGCATGCCAGCAAGTTAAGCTGCAAGCTTCAGAGAGAGTCTAAGCCCATCTTGCCTCAAAGGAATCATACCTGCTAGTTTGTGAGAAGAGCGGTAGGGGGGAGGGGGCACGTTGGCTGTTATGACCCCTCCCACAGAAACAAGGCCTGCATTGTTGTACGCACCTGAGTGGCAGTTGCAAATATTAAAGATGTCCATAATACACATACAACACCAACTTACAACACAAACTACCAAATAGACCAGAATCTTCATCTGATAAAAAAAAAAAAAAACACTGTGATGACAATCAGTTTCAAAATGTCTGATAGGTTGTATGTCGAGGTGGGTAGTAACTGGTTACATTTACTAAATTACATTTACTTAAGTAAAGTAATGAAAAAATAAGTAAATATTTTAAATGTTTTGCAGTATAGTACTTATAACTGTTACTTGAGTAAAATCCTTGTAAAATATGTTAATTACCTGAGCACCATTTCTGGCTTATTTTTCTACAGTAAGGGTTGGCTTACACTCTACGATATCATTGCTGCACTCAGGTACAGCTCAACCATACGACAAAACCACAGGGTTCACAATATCTGTTCTTATGCTGCGCTCACAACAAAAGCGTCCAAAACGCTTAAACGGCTAAATTTGGACACTGGGTCAATGCTGGATCAAACTGTGGTCAAGTTGCTTTGACGCTTCAGCGTTCTGGTTGTTGATCTGCTCTGTTCTGCAGCTACAAGCTACAGAGCAACTATTATTTATTTACTTTGAAGAATTGGAATACAGTTTTGCCATTTTTTTAAGTGAGTGATTCCACCTCCAGACATCCTCTGTGCATTCAGTTCATCAGGATTATGATACTACTAAAATAGTTTTCGTCTGCAGGTTGTACCATTTTTAGTAATTTAGGTATTTATAAACTGTTTCGCCATAATTCATAGAAAATATTTTAGTGCAGCAACTTAACGATCCATTCCTCTGGCTTTTTTTTTTTAAACCTTTGGAGTTTACCTCCTTGATATTTATTTATTTTTCATAAAGAGAAGTGAAAACAGCTTGTAGGTAGTGTCTTATTTCCCAAAGAACTCCTGAATCAGCTTTTCTGATTAGTTGAAGACATTGTGTCCAGCAGCAAAAGTTACATTTTTGGAACACCAGTGTGGAACACTCAGATGCTCTTATACCAGAACGCTCGTATGCGCCGCTCCCAATGCTCTGATGAGCTGCTGGACCTCTCGACAACGTCCCACAAAGAGTTTGCATGTAAATCAGACGCTTTGAGACTGAAAACACACCCGGTCTGATAGCACTGTTAACTGTACGGCCCAATGCTCTGATGCAACCTGACTTGTTGCACTGTACGTCCAAAACTATGGTCCTGGTTGAATAATTTTATCTGGAATAAATGTCAGAGGAGTTCCCTTGTATGCACAGTGCAAGATGTGGAGGTAAATTTGGTGTTAGCTCTGCTTCAACAGCAGGAAACGCTCATGATCACCTGACCACTGATTTCAAACATGTTTTGATTTTTATCTAATCATACGATTCCTGATCAAGAGGTGGTGATTTTAGGCTAATTGTCCCTTACCCCCTTATACTACATGATGCAGGATGAAGCTAAAATTTGGCTTGATCCAAAAACATTCCAGCACGACCTGAAAATTGTCCCAAAAGGGCAAAACTTTTACTGTGCATTCCCGCCCTCACTAGAGCCAATCAGAAATCTTTAAGTCCTTGAGTTATATGGAGAACAGGTGGCAAACAGGTGATGTTGTCAATAGAGGTTCTTTATCCTGTTCTTGTATATATACATTATTTACTGAAAGGAATGGTTTTATAAGTTCAATGTTGAAAATAATGATTTGGACATTTTTCTTCAGCACTATTATTTTTTTATCATCTGATTTATTTGTATTTCCTATTTATTTTAGGTTTCACAATTCTAGAATTTGCCTGTAAAAGCTGTCTGATTGTGTAATTTCTAAACATCCAATCAGTATTATGATCCTACAAGTACTCAATACTTGAGTTGCCTTTTTTACCAAATACTTTTTACCCTTACTCAAGTCATTTTTCACTTTTACTTGAGTAGAAATTTTTGAAGTTGTGTTTCTCTTACTTTGGTACAATTTGGGGTTTTCTACCCACCTCTGGTTGAGGGTAGTTCTCATGGTAGGGAACAATGAAACTACCTTGAAAAGTAAATAAGTGTAGTTTGCTTTGACGTTTCTTACTTGGGGCGATGGTGGCATGAGGCCGGCAGGGCGGTATGGGGTAAGGAACAGGTCTATGAGGGTTGTAAGTCGAGGGAAACTAGAAAGAAACAAAAAACAAACAAGTGAAACATCAAACCAGAAACCTAAAACAGTAGAATATCTAACAGGTAGATACACAATTTTTCTAGTTCATTCCTGTAATCAAAGTTGTTTGAGCATAACAAGTAGCTCAAAATGGAACAAAGTATTGAACTGCCAGATGATAAACTTGAGCACATTATGGTACCAAACTGTCATTAGAAAAAGTTGCACGGTATCAAACTACAGAAGGAAACTGGCAGACCCAAAGCCATATTTGAATTGCAGGACAAGTTGGGTCACAGGTGGCACCAAGGATCACAGCTTCAAGCACAGCATAACAGTAGTCGTAGCGAGTAAGTTTTAGTGCTAACTGTGATGAATTGAAGCAAGAAAGTCACTGCTGAAGTGCCAGAGCATTGATGCGTTCACACCGAATGCAAAACATCTGCCTGTTTCGTGTGCTTTTACTTTGATGACATTCTGCCAGAAATCCACCCGGCTGGCAAAAGTAATTCGCACAGTGGGTGAATTTGCATTGCAGGTAAAAGACCCTACTGCATCATCCACTCTGCTGGATGAGGGTTTTTATGACAAGCATATAAACAAAAGTTCAGAATTTGGGAATGTTATGTTGCATACTTTGCAGGGGCAGTGGTTCTCTCACTTTGCTGAATTTGACAAAAACTCTCCATTTTCCTCACAGGGCTTTTGAGTCACCCGCTACATGGAGATAACATGTTGTTCTATCCAGCTGCCAAATTTACACTAGTTGTGAACACACCTTAAGACAAGCTTGACTGGATAATAAAACACTTCCCTTGAAAAAATGAATAGAATTAGAAGAATTTTTATGGACCGCTAAATTAAAATTAGAAATCTTTGGCTCATCACAGAATATTTGCATACTGTTCAGAAGGCAAAAGGATGATTTCACAGGGTGTCACATCAGCAGTCAAAAATGGAGGAGGGAGCGTGTGGTCTGGTGCTACTTTGCTGAATCCAACAAAAATATTTAACATAGCTTTCTGCGGTACCATGCAATACTCTCAGGTAGGCACCTCGTCAGACGGAGTTACTTAAATAAGACAATAACCCAAACATAAGTCCAAGCAATGCCAAAACTGCCTCAGTGATAAAAAGAACAAGATGGTAGCCTTGAAAATTTGGAGTGGCCAACACGGTCTGCAGACTTATAACCATTTTAAGCTTGTTTGGGATACTTGGACCAAAGAGTTAAAACAAAGAAAACTGCAAATATCCCACATTTATGGGAACTTTTGCAACGGATTTGGAAGAACTTTGTAAAAGAAATGTTATTTCTACAGTAGAAAAAAAGACAGTAAGTGTTCAGCTTTTATATCGGCAAAAGATGGCAACTTTGAAAAAAAAAAAAGGACTTCATTATTGCTGATTTGTACTATAGTTTAATTTCAGAGTGCAATAACACACAAAACTGTCATATTCTGACAAATATATATTTTTTTCATTACCAATTCAATACTCACAGGTTTGAATGGTCCAATAATCCTGGAAGCAATTCCTTTCCCCTCAATGCTGGTGGAGCTGTCTTTTTTTTTCTCACCCTCTTTTTTTATTGGAATAATTCCCTGTAGTTAATAGCACAGGTTATTTTAGGAGTCATTCTTTAAAATGAAAAGAAAAAAAAATCAACATCTCAGCCTCACAAGGTTACTCATTTGATTGATCTATTATGTCTGCAATTTATATTGCCTTGTGTAAAAAGAAAAAGAACATACAGTTCTGTCAGCAGATGGTAACAGAGATTCTGTCACTTAACTCGCACGTAAGTAGAGAATAATTTAGTTGAGATAGTAACTAAATCTTTCTTGTACTTACAGGAAAAGTTCCAGTGATCAAGCTGGGTCTGCCTTTAGGATATGGATTTCCAGGGATCATTCCACATGAGGAGATCATAGCTACTGGAGCCTTGCAGCCGACCTTACAAACCTAACCAGACAATTTTTAAGAATGAATCGATGAATTTCTTTCAATTGTTAGATAAATAGTTGCTTAACTCATTCATCTCACAAATGCTAACGCTTTTATCAATAAAAATAATATTTATTAAAGAATAAGTGGCCTTGAATTTTAGTTTCTTTTGAGTGCAGACCTGGTCTAATATTCTGCGAGCACGCTTCTTCTCAGACAAGTGCGTTCTGAACAGATCCTCAACCGGCCGATAATTCTGAGCATCTGAAATATTCCTGTATGGAAATGGACGTACAGTTTAATACCCCATAAATCAACTGAAAACAAAGAGGATTTAAAGACTAGATTAGACCGTAGGATTGCATTTTATAATGTACTCACAGAGCAATTGATTCCAAGACAACAAGTCTGTCCTTTGTGAAGGTAAAGCAGTTCAGGATGTTGGCAACTTTGGTTGTAGGGATCGCAACCATTTTCTAAAGGCAAAAAAGAGGAGCAGATGAATGATCAAGACTCCATTTTTTTTACGTGTTTTTAAGAGATAGCCTGTATCTCTGGTGAAGAAAGGCAGCCACTTTAGAGGGATTACTGTGATTAGTGAACCTTTAGCAACTTTGGTGTAATTTTTGTCTATGCTAAAATTAAGTTTCAGGCAGCTTACATGCTCCAGTGCTTTTACTGCTTTGATCTGAGGTTCTGCCCATGAGAAGTACTTCAGGATTTCCACTACCTGCATGTGAAAAAATACAATTTTAACACAGTAAAAGATGGAAAAACTCCATATTTGACAACAACTGACATGAGATTGATAGATTACCTGCTCACTGGAAAAATATCCATGGACCTGCTCTATAGCTCTGACCCGCTGGTCTGTCAGGACGCACTGAAACAGAAGATTAAGCGTAAACAAAACTGCAGAGGACGAATTAGACATTTGAAATCAGAAAGAAATGTAATACCTTTCTTATCTCATCCAAGACTATGTCAAAAGATTTCTTATCCATATTGTATTTTTTATACACACGGTGCCTCCTGCCGATAGTTGATTACAAACTGGCGTTAACAGTCAATGTGATGTTTAAATTATACAAATAAGGTCAGTTAAAATGAAAAGCATCCGTATCTGAATACGTTCAAAATAGTTTTTTTTTCCCCCTCTTGGCTTCTGGTAATAATTCATTTATCGGCGAATCCGAGTTTTAATATATTGTATGTATGCAGCACAATATTTGATAACCGCATGGCTAAAATACCCATTTAGCAATCAGCTCTTAGATAGTGAACAATGACTACCAAACAGCAGAGTTGTCTGCAGGGCACAACCAGCTCAGGCTGCAGCTAACAACAGGCTAGCGTGCTACAGTTATCCCCATCGAGACCACGACGCGAAGAAAACGTGCTTATAGATATAAAACATGTATTGGAAGAGTCAAGGAGATAACGCTTGTTCAAGCAGTCTGCAAATAAAATTAAAATTGGTAAAAGAAGCTTTAAAACAATATTTAAATCAAACTAATACGTGGAAGAAAATACACAAGTTTAGCTAGCTGCTACTGACAGCTGGCGGCTAACGTCAACAACGAAAGGACCCCCGTTAGAGCGCCTGATCGGAAACAAATATCCATAAAGTAATATGACATTAAACAACAATAAATTAAAATATTAACCTCTAGGGTGTTTAATTTGTAGTTATTTCATTTTACCTTGGTTACATTTGAATTTTAAATTTTGTGTAATGTCAGTGATTCTCGGCAGGAGATTTTTAAACAGCCCACAGGAAGTAATTACAGAAACAACTGTTTGTAGCAATAGTTATTTTGTGTTTGTCTTGTCAAAAGTTGAAATGGACCGTTTTTCGTGGTCAAATGGGCTTTTGGAAATAAACGAAACTTTAGTGATACAGCAAAGAGGTGTCAGACTATATGACGGTGATGATAAGGTACAGTTTTCTCATTAGTAAGCCTTTTTTCCGCTTTTGGTTACCAGAACATGGCAGCAAAATTGTAAATAGAATTTCTGTTGCATTAGATTTTAGAGCATCCCAGCATTGGGTATTTATTACGTGTTTATAAATGTTGTGTAAAACTGTTGTTATATTGCAGCATTGCTTCCTTGTTTTATAACCAGGCAAAGTTGAATGTCGGAGCTGCCTTGTTGAGTACCCATCGATTGATCTGGAGGGATGCAAATAATCATGTGAGGCAACTTCTACAATTCAAAAACATTAAATAAATATATTTTTACATCTAATTTTACTTTAATCGCTTAGTCAATTGTGTGCTGTAAATCAGCAGTTCACACTTACAAAGATTTTACCATATAAAGGATTCTCCCTTTCTTGATTTAACATTTAACCTGATTGTTTTGCAACAGATAATGCTGGAAGGTATTATTTGTGCTTGCTGTAATATGACTTGTTTATTTCTTTTCCAATTTGGCAGGACTGCTGCATGGCCATGCCCTTGTCTCAGATTATTTTCTTTGAGGAACAGGCTGCTGGAATAGGAAAGAGGTAAACTGATCAGATTACAAAAAAAAAAGATCAAGTATAATAAAAACAGTCATCGAAAACATCTTGACAATATTTGTTAGCATTTTCAGTTTCTTTGTCTTGATTTTATTTTCCCTCTTTTCCAATTATTTACTAATCAGTCACTTAAAGTTTATGTAGATATAGCTGATACTATCAGATTGAAATTAAACAGGACACGTGTCAAGCTTTGTTTTTGTGAAACTATTTCCATTGTCAAAGAGGTGCACGATAAATTGTCACAATCTTCATCTCAGTGTCAGTATGTGAATCATGTGAGCCATGCTTTTAAACTCTGCATCCTGATATATACTTTTACCCAGATGGTGCACCTTCTTTGTCTTCTATGCTTGCATTAAATTAAGATTCTAATGCCTTAGATGCCTAAGCTGGAATATTATGATGATAAAAAAGAAAAATATTCCAGAAAATGTGATTAGTCACAACTAATTTTGGTAATTATCCTATTGCTGTGCTTAAGGCTCAAACCTCAGTTTTTCTCTATTGGAAAAAACAGCCTTTTTTTATTTTATAGTGCAAAAATAGTCATCCATCTGCATCCATCACCAGCCAACAAGGAACCAGGTCCATACCAGAACAGCAAGTACTCCTTCATCAAGCTGTCTTTCAAAGAACATGGGCAGATTGAGGTAGTCCCACATATAAACCCTTACAGTTTTCAAGCCCTTTATCTGTAAATGTTTGTGTTCTCATCTATCTTCATTTTACATTATCGATTACCTGGAACTGACATTGTACTTTTTAAATGCAGTTTTACAGGAGACTGTCAGAAGAGATGACCCAAAAAAGATGGGAGAATACCGCAGTTTCACAGCCTATCCCAACAGGAACTGGACCTCAGGTTAGAAATAAATAATATTAATATTATTTCACAGACTCTGCAAGATCAGAGGATTCACATTGAAAGGTTACTGTTGTACTGGAGGTTTAAGAATTTTAAGATGTAGAGTTTTGATTTAAAAATGTTAATCCACTGGGTGGCAGTGTTCTTCACTTTTTTTTCCTATTAGATAAAAATCATTGTTATTCTCTTAAATAAATTGAACTAAGTTAGATTAGACCCTATCCAGTAAAAATATAAAAAACAAATATATATATTTTTTTCTCAATAGGTTTTTTAACTACTGGCAGTTTTTTCTGCTGTTCTCTTTTGTTGTTCCACAGTCATGGTTACACCATTTGAATTTGTTTTTTAACTATGTTTGTTTTCCTTTTCTTTGTGGTCATGTAGGCAGGAAGGACACGCGCAGTGGGCATTGTTGGCATTGAAAGAAAAATAGAGGAGAAGAGGAAAGAAACAGACAAGAACATTTCAGAGGTAATTTCTGGGGAAAAAGACAGAGGGCAAAGTTTTCATTGTAATTCTGTTCAAATGTCTCAGAAGACAGAAATGGTATCTGCACCTTTTTATGTATGATGTCAAATAATATATAGAAGATATTAAATGAAGGCATTTATATAAAAGAACAGTTTTTATTTAGAATTTAACCAACATTACTATTTTATAAACCAGTAAATATTGGAGTGTGATTTAAAATATTTTGAATACTATTTTAGATCATGGACATTTTAAGCTTTACCAACCTTTTGGTGTTTGTCTTTAGGCCTTTGAGGATCTCAGTAAGCTGATGGTGAAGGTAAAGAAAGATTTCATTTGATTTCCCTGCCAATTTATGCCAAAAATAAAATACAAGTACCTTGCTAAAGTATTCATACCCCTTGAGTGTTCCAACCCTCAATGACTGGTATTGGCAATTACTTTTAATCTATACTAAGCTATTTTGAGGTAATTGTGTAGATCCAGGTTTTTCTGCAATAAAATAAAGATTACTTTCTGTGCCATGAAAGAAAAACCTCTGACTGATGTTAATTAGTTAATTCTCAAATTTACACTTAATACTAACTAGATTACTTCTGTAAGCCTGAATTTTATTAAGGAGAATACAAAAGAATAGAATAGAATAGAATTCAACTTTATTGTCATTACATTGTCAAGTGCAAAGCAACAAAATTCACTGTCTGCATTTAAACCATCCATTTGGGGAGCAGTGGGGTGCCATTTGCGGCGCCTGGGGAGCAATGTGAGGTTTAGGGTTTTGCTTTGAAACCCAGAGTGGAGGCTGTGGGGATCAAACCGGGTACTTGCAACCTTCTCAGTATCAGTATCAGGGGGTTTATTTGAAAAAGCGAACATTCTTTATCTTTTGCTTTACAGGTAAACCTACTTCTTGTTGTTCACAATCAAATAATATTCCACTGATATACATAATATTTTTATGTCCCAAAAATGTTAAGAATAAGACGGATAGGAATACTGTTTTTGTTATTTAGTTATAAGTTAAATTTTTATGTATAGAAAGACATTATAACAGAAAGAGATTTGCTGAATTAGTCTCCAACTTGCAGGCTAAAGAAATGGTGGAACTGTCCAGATCTATTGCCAACAAGATCAAAGACAAACAGGGGGATATAACAGAAGATGAGGTAAGAATACCACCAATAAATATTAAAACCTGCTTTAAAAGCTAAAGGTTTTACCTTTAGGCTTCAAGTTTCGGATGGGTGAGATCTTATATTTCGGATAATTAACTCATTAATGCTTACGGATTAGCAATAATTTTAATTTAAGCTTTGTTCCTTTTCATAGACGATTCGCTTTAAATCTTACCTCCTCAGCATGGGCATTGCTAACCCTGTTACTAGGGAAACACATGGATCGGGTACACATTATCATATGCAGTTGGCTAAACAGCTAGGTGGTATGCTACAGGCTCCTCTTGAGGTAGGTGTCTCACCTGTCTGCTATCATCAAACGAATAAACCAAATTTCGGTACCATGTTTTTCATTTTCCTCTTGCGTGTAACTTTTCTACCCCTTCCTTGCTGTCTTTCAGGAGCGAGGAGGTATGATGGCTCTTACAGAGGTGTATTGTCTCGTCAATCGTGCCAGAGGGTTGGAGGTGATGCTCACATGTTGATCCTTTCTGCTGACTTTTCTCTGCAAGTGTGACAACTTAGTGATTTTCTTTTTTTTTCTCGTTTTTTTCCCCCTTTAGCTTTTATCTCCTGAAGATTTATTAAACGCATGCAAAATGTTTGAGTCCTTGAAACTCCCCCTGAGGTGAGTTTGAGGTTGTATTGCATTGTTTAAATTATCTGTATGCATTACATTCCTTCAGTTGTAGAGCGGGTTAAGTGCTCAGTGCTTAGGACGAGGCTGACCAGGCTCTTCCTGCCTGGCTTCCTGTTGTGCGAAGGGCTGTCCAGGCTTCCGCAGCTGTCATTTCCTGTTACTTCCTGGGGTTTTTGGAAAAACATTGGTCAAGTTTTCCCATGTTGGTCTGCATTACTGGTCTTAGTAAACCTTTATTAATTACTAAGAAAAAAAGGATAATTTCTTTTATTGTTTTTTTTTTTCTTTACCAAAAAACTTTATTTATTTTATATTGGTTTAATCTGACATTGGATCACAAAATAGTCCAAGGGGGAAAAAAATGGATTTCAAAATCTGTATGCACTTAAAAACCTGACAAGTCAACCTGTTGCCTTCAGAATTATATTTAATTTCACTGTTACCTTATTTATTTTATTTAAGTATCCATCTATCAGTTTTTACTCCACAACTTTAACATTTGACAAAAAAGTGAAAAACCCACATACAAAATGGCGTGATTTAAAATGCGTCTGAGGAAGAAGGAAATCTGTTACCTGGCCAACAAATGCTGTGTAATTCTGTCTGTGAAGGCTATACAGCACAATAATTTTAATCTGTTATAGCTGTATTTTTACATCATATATTGATTTTACTGCTATGGCCTACAAGGTTACACATAGATGTATTTTTCATTCAAATGCCCTTTTTTTTCTTTTGTGAAGTGATGGGTGAAATCTAAACTGCAGTTTTGACTACATGCATGTTTTTTGCAGTTTTGCCTCAGAGTTTCCTGTGTCATTTGTTTTTATCATGTGGTATCCATGCATGACCCATTTGCTCACTGTCTTTTCTCTTGTTTTTTTTTTCCATGCATCGTGGTTATTGTGTAGGCTGCGTGTGTTTGACAGCGGTGTGATGGTGGTCCAGTTGCAGTCTCACAGTGAGGAGGAAATGATAGCCTCTGCTTTGGACAATGTAAGCCTAATCTTTAACAAGCATAACACCATAATATGGTCTCCTATAATATGTTCTGCTAACTGCGCTGAAGATTTCATATATTTAGCTTTTCTTTGTGTTTTTTGTATTCAATCCCAGGTGACAGAAAAAGGCTCCCTCACAGCAGAGGAGTTTGCTAAGCTCTTAGGTCTTTCTGTTCTTCTGTCTAAGGAGCGGTGAGTTAAAATTCAATTCAGTTTATTTATATAGCGCCAATTCATTCAATCTCATTTTAAGGCACTCTGCAGAGATAAGCTCCACTGTCGCTACAAGCATGCTTGTAGCGACTGTGGGGAGGAAAAACTCCCTTTTAACAGGAAGAGACCCAAACTACCAACCAGCTCCCATGTTACAGGATTAATGTGAGCACATAGAGTTAGTCACAGTCAGAGAAACAGGACTACACTGAAAAACTGGCCAAACTCCAGCATCCAGAAACAAAGGTGTTGATGGCAGCAGCACAGCTGATATTTCTCTCCAGGATGGTGTCACAGTCAAACAAGAACAGACCAAATGAAGCTACAATTATGAGAAAAAGCAGAGAGAGTATAAAGTTAGAGATTGAGCTAACAAATTCTGTAGATTGGGAGAATAGAGATAGAAAGCTATCTTAATTTCTGTCTTATTTCTGACAGGTGATTGTCATTTTGATTGACTTTGTTGCTTCTATTATACTAATTTGCTCCTCTTGATGTTTGTTCTGTTTCCTTTTCGTTCTCAGGTTGTTGCTTGCAGAGAAGATGGGCCACCTTTGTAGGGATGACTCTGTTGAAGGGTTAAGATTTTACCCTAACTGTTTTTGATCTACTAAAACATTAGGGTATCTCTCTCCACAGTAATGGGAAACATAAATACATGTTGATACTAAAGTCGGCCTGGTGATGACATTTGGTTGTTATTTTCTATATTTTGATAATCTAAGCATTGGGGCAAGTTCTCTAAAATTATTGCAAATGAGGAAAATATATTCTACATTACTCTACTTGGTAAGAGGCTCATTGAGGTGTAATGCAAAGTGGGGTTGGTGACATTTACTTACAGCTCTGTCTGCTCATTTGATGTATGTTTTCCTTTTTCCTGGTGATCCAGGCCTATTTAAAGCTTGCACGGTGTTAGGAAATGCCCACAGGCTCTAGTATTTGGATCCTTTGTTTCAAAGTAAACAAAGAATTTCTACAATACATGCAAACTGGGTTGCAAACTTTTTCTGTTTTCTTTAGTGTTGAGGAATTTGCAAACATGTCTACATGTGCAGCATTTCAGCAAATCATGTTAATTCAAATGATTTTGCAATTTTTTTGGTTTTTCTCTGTCTGTCAAAATGATGTAAACTTGTTTTATGATTTTATTTTTTTTTGTGTACCGTGGGGCCAAAATTAAATAAAATGGTTATAAAGTTTCCCATCAATCTGCGTCGTCTCCTTTTGGTCCCAGTTCCAAATATTTGACCTCCATCTTAGAAATGTTTTGTTGTATTTAACTCCTGTAACTGAACACAAATCAAAGCAGAAGCTGCATATTCTGCAAAAAAATAACTGCTGAGCAGAGATCGGAAGTAATGAAGTACAAATACTTTGTTACTGTACTCAAGTAGATTTTTCTGATATTTTTACTTTACTTTACTACTTATTTTTATGGCGACTTTTTACTTCTACTCTTTACATTTTTACACAAATATCTGTACTTTCTACTCCTTGCATTTTAAAAAATTGGCTCGTTACTTTAGTTTTGAATTATTTCAATGGAGTTACCATTATTATTTTTCACGTCATCAGTACCAAATTCAATCTAATTGGATGGGAATCTACGCACCACTACAAGATGAATCGACAGATTCGGCGGTATTCATTGGCGGCAAATCATTGCAGCTTGGTGGCGGTGGCGTTAGCATAGTAGTATGGACGACGAGATGATTGAAAATGAACACAACGGAGATCTAGTCCTATTGGCAGACATCCATTTAAAATGTAGGCAACGGCATGAAAAATGTGGTTTCTACTTTTACTTTTATACTTTAAGTAAATTTACAAGCCTGTACTTTGTTACTTTTACTTGAGTAAAGAAGTTTAATCAGTACTTCCACTTTTACCAGAGCATTTTTTAACACAAGTATCTGTACTTTTACTCAAGTACGGAAAGTGAGTACTTTTGCCATCTCTGCTGCTGAGACACTAATCCTTATGTAAAATCTAAGCATTTATCCATATGCACCAGTCCTCAGCAACACCTTTGATTTTTGTCTTTGATCCGTGCAGAGCTTTTGAAACTCAGAATCAAATCATCCTCTGTCCCCAATGTGAACCGAGCTGCCCAGTAAACTGTTTCATCCCCACAGAAACTTCCTGTTTTTTGCCTGCTCTGTTTGAAGGAAAAAAATGAAGGTCAGTGAAGCTGATTAGATTAGCTTGACATGTGGTTCACTCATTGATAATAGCTGGGCTGAATTCACTCAGGAAATCTGACTTGAGGCAAGTAGTTAAATTTGAGTAAATATTGAAAATTTGCTTGTTATTCTTAAATTTGCAAGGTGGAAATAACTAGTGCATTTCACAAATATAAATCTGGAATAATATTTTGTCTCAGATTTTGTTATATGACTTAAAAATCTACATATGAAGAAGCTGACAGAGTAGGATACTTTTTTCTATTCTGCTACATTAATTGCATTTGCTGTGTGCTACATGTGCTTTAAATACAGTATATCTTTATACTGATAAATGGCTTAAAGCAGGAGGCTTTTTAAATCAATGCAATAGAGCTGTTCTGGAATGAAGAGTCTCAGCCTGACTGATATATGATGGCGGCAATAAGATAACTTTAAACCAATGCTGTACTTGCATGTTGTGTGTGAAGTTAAATTGTTTAACTTGAAAATTCAAATCAACCAGTAATCAAGTTTTCACTTTATTCTTCACTAATAGAGTTTTGTTCTGACTGACTAACTGCTTACTGACCAACACCAGTAGACTCATGCTGACTTTGCCCAACTGGGAATCAGAGTTAAAGTAAGGAAGAATATTTTAGTGTGCCCAGATCTTTACTCTGCATACTGTACATCAGAGCTGAAAATATATGGATTAATCCAGAAAGGTATGGAAGAAAAACAGCCTCATTGGAATTTGCCATTTTCTGTACATCAAATTTTAAACACTGTATTTTTATATGGTTAAAATTCCCCTGCAAAAAAATTCACCAGCAAAAGATTCAGCTGCAAGAAAATCATCTTATATGACAAATTTGTTATTAATAAAGGGTTAATAATACATTATAAATATAATAAAAGTAATTAATGTTTTTGCATTACATTCCTTGTGTAATATGATTTCAGTAATACTTCATTAAAACTTTTCAAACATTACACACTACAAAATGAATAATAAAAGCATGTATTGTCAATGCCGATATAGTTTCAGATTGCTATCTGTATTGGTCAACATCTAAGGTTGCAATATTGGTATTGTGATAAAAAAAAAAGGTCTATTAGGACATTCCTAATTGCTAATGAAAATAATTGACAATAGTTGTAAAATAACATAGGAATAAAAAAAAGTACTAAAAAGTTGTAAAATAAAATGAAAATGACAAGAAACCAAATCCAACTTTTTCAAACACTTAAACATAGCAAGAGAAGAAGCAAGTGATCAAGTGATACAATTGACTATTAATGTATATGGTGACATATTTAGATTAATTCACCAAAGTTAAATTTTTAAAAGTAAGTTATACATTGAATTCATTACTATTATTTATTGAACTTTATTCTAAAAAAAAAAAAAAAAAAAAAAAATAATAAATGCCTATGCGGGTCTAATGCTATCATTGCAGAGTAGACACTTACCAGTGGGATTTTAGGGTCTATATTTGATTAGCAGTTCCAATTATTTCATGAGTCTTGTTCAAAACAAAATCATGGAAATGTTATATAAAGGACATGTGACTTTTTTCAGGGATATGCCAATCCTTCAAAACCTAACATGTTTAATGGATTATGGCACTTTCGGACTTCCATATTGGTTTATCATCGGTTATAAACATAACATTTCAAATATTAATTTCTCAATCATTAAATGGAATTAAAATGTAAGCAATTATTAGATAAATGCCTACAGCTTTTAACTGTCAGTGGGGATTGATGGCACGCGGTCTGACGCTGAAACAATAACGCGCTTCAGACTTCCCCTGGATCCGGACCGCTGGCTGGAAGCGAAACTCTGATCATTTCAACGTTGCTTTAGCGAAAACTGGACGGAATAATGCGCTTTCCGCAAACTAAATACGTAAGTTCAAGATTTTTTTCCCTTAAAGCAAAGACATATAATTCATCATGTCTACCAAGTAAAATAAGCTGTACATTTCTTTCATAAATGACTATTATAGCGATCTGAAAGAGCAAGGCTTTGGAATTCTATGTGGGTGGTTTAACATTTTGATTAATGTAGTTTAATTTATAACATCTTTTCCACTTTATATGTCCAAACACATTTCAAACCAAGTGCTATTAAAGTATTTGACTAAATCCTACGTTTTCTATATTTTATGTCATGCATTTCTTCTTTTATTTTCTTTTTATTATTTCTTTGATGTGACACATGTCTTGTGCAGATTTGTATTTACGATTATTGATTTGCTGCTGTATTGCGTCACAATTTTTATTCAAATGTTGTTAGTTTCATTTACATTTTTTTTTTGTAATTTGATAGAATTATTTCCTAGAGGTCTCATCATTCTGGTATATTAATATTTTAATATATATTCAAGTGCCTCTTCTATTTGTTTGGGTAGAAAGTTTCTCTGATCTTAGTTCAAATAAAAAGGGAATCTGAAATAATTTCAACTGTAAAAATACCATGCGGATAAAACTTTATTCAGTATTTCACATGATTTTAACCCTACTATTAAATGGTGACCAAAGCTTGGGATAGTTAAAAAAATGACAGCAGCCAAATTGATTCATCCATCCATTTTCCCAAATGGTTATCCCAGGGAGGGTTGCTTGTACCTATCTCCAGCCGTTTACAGGCAAGAGGTGGGGTCCACTCTGGACAGGTTGCCAGGGCAACATGGAGACAAATAGGACAAACAACCATTCACACACACACTCACACCTAGGGAGAATTTAGAGAAGCCAATTAACCTACGGTAACAGTCATGTTTTTGGACTGTGGGAGATGGCCGGAGTACCCAGAGAGAACCCACGCATATTCAGGGAGAACATGCAAACTATGTCTCATTTAATATGTCTCATTAATTTCCACTTAAATGTTTTTGTAATCTCACTACCAATACAGTATAAAATGGGGAATTCTGTATTGAAATTTCATTTTGAGATTTTACTTTTTTCCTCCTTTTAATTGCGTCTGGATTCACATCAGTTCAATTCAGTTTATTAATATAGCACCAATTCTAAACACATGTCATCTCAAGGCACTTTACAGTTTAACAAGATCATACAGTCAAAGTGCTTCAAAGTTTTCTATCTAAGGAAAACCAGTTGATTGCATCGACTCATTGACTCGAATGCAATCCCTCATTGCATCAGCAGCCTGAGATATAATACTATTCAAACCACAAAGAACACCAACCAGAAAAGGTGTGCAGCTGCCCACAAATACGACTTTATTCCTTGTTTTGAACAAAGCCCTCCAGAGGAACTTAAGCTTTGTGGTGACGGCAACTCCTTGTACCCATTGTGGGGATAAAAGGAAGAGGAGGACCAACTTTAAAATCCAGAAAACTGGTGTTTATTGTTTCTTCTTATGAGCTTCCTGTTGTTCATAGCCCAGTGGAAAGAAAAGCCTTTCTGAGTGTCTTTGTCCATTTGAGACTGCAGCCTTTGTACAAGATTATGTTTTTTTAAGCAATCAAGATTTTGACCTGTGATTTATAGATGTGAATGACGGTGGGGAGAGATGGTCATGTGGTATAGAGGGAAGAAAGGACACAGACATCGGAATGCCACAGGCTATCTCTCTGCTGGCCTTCCTTCTTGTGCTCATAGGATACGGTAAGTTTTTCAAACGCTATCACCTTGAATTGAAAATGTAGAATTTTTATCAAATAGCAAAAGGATATAAATTGTCTTCTTAAAGGAATAGTACACCCAAAACATGATTAGCCTTCATTTTCTACTCACCCCCATGCTGAACAACACTCTGGAGTACTTTTTTGATATCTCAAATGCATCTGGAGATCTGGGAGGCTTCTTGCTGTCTGCTGACATTTAAAAAATGGAGGTGCCCAGCGCCCGAGGAAGAAATGTCCATAAAAGTCCACAAAAAAACGTGTCAATATTCCTCCATACTGCTCGTCCAATGTATTCCAAGTGTCCTGAGTGGGTAGCATCCCTAATTTACTCGAAACGAAGTCATTTAGAAGGTTTTTAGAGCATAAACAGTAGTGTATAGGATTTTCTACAAGCGCGCGCCTGCGAGTTCATGAGTCTACGGAAACCGCGGCAGACCAAACCAGATGAAAGTGCGCATTCAGCTCGGCAAAGAACTCATGCTCTTCTTCAACACTGAAGTCCTCAGACATTTTTCTTTCGTTGTTTCTTTCTTTGCACAGGTAAACAGCACATTTCTTCTTCTACGCTTGCATTATCGGCAGAGCAGACGCTGAATGCGCACTTTCATCTGGTTTGGTCTGCCGCGGTTTGAAGGCTAATCATATTTTGGCTGTACTATTCCTTTAACACAATTGTGCAGCTTTCCAGTCTATCATTTAGTACGGTGAAACAAGGTGTTTGACAAAGTTTATGATGGTAAATGGAACCATTACAATGTATGGGCAGCTGCTGCCATTCCATTTTTGCTTTGCTCCAATTTGAAATGCTGTGACTCTGAAACTGTGCTTGGATACTCAGAGGAACCATTAAAAGTTGGTATAATATCAAACTTAAAAAGTTAGACTCGTACAAAACATGACAGATTACTATGTTTAATGTTGCCACTTTCTAACAAACGCCAGCTTGGACTGATTATTTGCAATCATTTGCAGAGGCTAACGTAAAACAAATTTGAATTATTATTTTATACGATATATGTTTTCCCTATATCCTTGCTCAAGATCGTCAACATATATATTAATTTGCACTTAAGCTTAGTGTTCACAGTAATTCACGTGAAACAAAGCAAATTTGATGAGATGCTTCTTTAATTATGGCATCTTGTGTTTAAGATCAAATTTTAGTAGACGAGTTGTCCGTAGCTGTTGACTTTAAACTTTTAAAGTATGTTCAGCTCTGCCACATTGTTCAGCTCATTGGATAGTTTGTAAACAGCCGCTGTCTGAAATCTGCACACAGCCATCAACAGAGCAAATCTTGAAATATTTTACTTTATTTCACTCTTTTTTTAGGCTTGCAGATAATGTAATGTAATGTAAAATAGCAGTGAGGGCACAGGTGGATGGATGGATGGATGGATGGATGGATGGATGGATGGATGGATGGATGGATGGATGGATGGATGGATGGATATATTTTTTTTTGTCTTTTACTTTGTAAACCCTGTTTATTTTCCCCCTCCATTAATTTATTCCTCTTTCCATTTCTCTATGCATTTCGGCCTCATTTTGCAAATGAGGAGTGGTTGGTCTCAAGTAGTTTGGATGGTTGCATCCAGTCTACATGCTACCAGGCCAGCCACAGTCACAACAAAGAGGGATACCTACCTATTATCAAGCCATTTAGCAGCTTTATTAGAAAAGAGAGATGGAATTCCTGACCTTATTTGTGGTGTGGATGCTCTGATAAAACATGTGTTTCTGTTACCTGAACACATTATTTCCCTACAGAATTTGCAGCCACTGCTTCAGGAGCATGCTTTTAGCAGGAGAAGCAATTTCAGTTTCCATCTCATTCTGACCAGCTATGGGGAAATAAGGATGATTAACTTTTGTAAAAACATGAATGAAATATATCATTCAAAGTCATTGTTGAGTAAGTAGTTTACAAGAAAAGATTAAGCTTGTGTGATGAGAATACTACAGAATGTGTTCTGATTCTCACACATCTAGAAAAAAAACAAACACACAATGATTTCATAAATAACTTGAATCTGAAAAAAGTAAAAATAAATAAAAATTATAGGAAAATAAGCAAATTAAAGTCAGACTTTTCCTTTTAACCATGTTTCGACAGAATTATGTATGGTAAGGATGGTAGCCTTAACATTTGTTGACCAAGCTTTCTTACACTGCGCAGCATATTTCTCTGGAGAATCCATTGGCAGTTTTCAAATTTTATTGTTCCCTGCTGAAATTCAAGATACCGTGTCAGATGAAGCAAACAATTGTTACCTCCTTGGTCTTCTCCAATGAGTTTTTCCTTGTGTCAAACGATGGATGGTGTGATCTAATGCTTATGTTCCTCGAGCTTGAAGTTCAAATGTTACCATTTGTCTTATCTGTCTCTTTGACATGTCATCAATATTTGTCCTTCTCCCGCATCCAGGGAGGGTGGATACAGTCCTATGGATCCTACATTTCTAAATAATATGTACAATTGTGGTCACAATAACATCAAGCCTTTAACTTTAACATGCTTGTCTATAATTTTAATTCTAAACTCTGATGCCACCTATTTCCTTCACTTTCTTTGGTTCGTGTTGAGTGTGGTACACACCATGTGATCTAAGAGCACAGTGTCTACAGTACCTGCAGCCCTGTATAAAGGCCCACCAACTGATTACCAGATTATAGGCACCCGTGATGCTAATCAGTGGACACACCTTGATTTAGTGTGTCCCTTTGGTCACATTATTTTCAGTCTTTTCTAGGGGTACCATTATTTTTGTCCAGGCCTGTTTAATTGATCTTTAATCATTCTGTGGAAGCATGGTTGAAAAGCAATGTGACTCATTTGTTTATTTTAGTATAATTTGTATGTACTATTACTGTTGTCGAATTCAAGTTATTTTTGTTACCATTGTGGGGCTTTCTTTTAATAAATAAGAGGTACCAACGATTTTGTCCTTGTGTGTAAATTTGTGAAACCAATTCTTAGAATAGTATAAAATCCCTTTATTTGTCCCTGCGGAGCAATTGAATAGGCTAACAGCAGACATATATAGATAAAGAAGAAAAGCAGAAATTAAAACCATGAGCTGGTTGTAAAATGATTCAAGTTTTGTCTTACATCTTGAAAACTGAATGGTTAAAATGCATTATTAAAAACTATTTTACCAATGATGCAGAGTTCAACGTTCAAATTATTTTTAATACTTATTTTATTTTTATACTCTTTTTCTGGCAGCTTTTGCAGGGCTCAGTATATGGCCCTCTTTCCACGTGGCCCTAAGTAATGGAAGTGTATTTGTGGACTTCAGTGTAAAATCCAAAAACAACTCCATCAGCAACATGAGCCTCTCCCTAGTCAACATGGAAACCAATACCTCGGTTCTGTCCAGGCCCCTCCCCGGCCACCAACTGGTCGGTAGGGAGGAGTTTGATTGTTCCTGCTTCCTGTATGCAGGAACTTTCCGGTTCCTGTTGAGGCAAACAAGCATCACTACTATTCCCAATGCTAATGGCTCAGATGTCAGCCACACGGTGACCTCAGCCTCCTGGTGGAGCTCTGAGCTGCAAGTGCAATGGCCCACTTTTCACATTTCTGTGGAGAGGGCAGGAAACCATTCTGAATATTTTCAGGCAAGACAATAAGATCTTTAATTTATCAACCATCTTTTTCACTTATTTACTGTGGCATAATCAGAACAAACATGAGTTGTATACCTCTCTTTTATTGGTTCTTCTCAGGTTGGCTTATCCACTAATGAACACTTCCAGGCTTGCTCCAGTGGCATGGACTCAGCCCTCCTCTTAGAAGTCAGTTACTCGGAGTACAACCAGATTGGACGAAACACCACTAACAAAGTCCGAGGTCAAATACGGAAACCAATCAAGCCACTTCGTTCGCAGAGAGTTGAGCTGCCCTGTGCTTTCTGGTTCACGGAGAGAGACTTCATCACAGTGGTCATACGATCCCCTCACACAGAACAAGAAGTGAAGAACTCCGGACCTCTCTATCCATCCCGTATTTTCCCCTACAAACTACTGGTGGAAAACGTCAACGCTTATAAAAGTGGTTGCATGGACACAATGACTGTGAAGATGATAACGCCACCATGTACCCATGTTAATGGGAAAATACAGCTATATAACGCAAGTATTGGAAAGGGGGGTGATTTTACATCCACTGTGATGGAGCCTGAACCAGAGGAATCTTCTTTGCTGGCATTTAATTGGCTGACACAAGAGGAAAATGAGACTGAATTCAACTGCTCAGTTTTTTACCCAGGAAGGAATAAGTACTGCTTCCGCTTTGTTTTCAATTTTAGTCGATTGTCTAGTCCAGCAGAGAAGTGTCTGGTGGTTTACAGAAGTGCAGGTGAGGTTTAATCTATTGATTAAGACATGTTTCACTGCTATATGGAATATACATATGTTGTGAAGCTTAAAGGGAGATTTTCTTTTTAATCCAGTTCTCATGTGACACATTAAAAAAATCAAATGTCAGTGAAAATGATTTTAATTGAGGTGAATAATAAATTGCTGCATGTATACTCTTTTTAATAATCAAATTGACTGGAATTTGTGTGGTAGACAATCTCAATTGAAATGATGGATTTATGGCTTTCAAGTTTTATTAATATAAATGTGAAAAGTATGGGATTTATTTTGATTCAGCAAGTTTTACCCCAAATAAGAGCTAATGAACAGATGCTTTTATCAGTCACTAAATTAGAACATGACCTAATAAGTCCAACCGCCTTTGATTTAATGGGTCTTAAATTTGAATTGCAGAATCTTGGGGGCCCTGGCAGCCATGGAGTGTTTGCAGTGTGAGTTGTGGAGAAGGGGTGAGAGAAAGAGCACGGGAGTGTTTGCTGCCCTCAGGTGTGGAAGGCGTGAAGTGCGCTGGCATGGTGAAGGAACGGTCTCCATGCTCCCTGGAGGACTGTAATAGTAAGTTCTGTTAAATCAGTAATTTAAACAGTTTTATATTCTCTAAAGCAGTCAATTTAACATTTTACCTTCTGCTCTACAACTTAACAACATAGGTCTATTAGCAACTCAGTTTAAGCTATTATGATTACAAAAACTGCATCAAACCAGCTTAAAGGTTATTTTTAAAAGCTACATTTAATCTGACAAATGAGCCTTATTGAAATGAATATTCTGATCTATCGGATATGACTGTGCAATGTTTTGTCTGGTTTTTCAAGTTAAGTTTTACTCATTTGATATCAGCCATTTTTAGTATATTACATTGAGGTGTCTGCAATAACAGGTCTCATTCTGTGTCAGTTCAAACCCACCAGGGGGATATCTTACACCACCTTTGCAAATAACAATTTAAGGTATTAAACAACACTTTCTATGATGTACTGATATGAAATTATAGGGACATATGTTTCTCTAGAGGCTTGAAAAAAAATCTAGTTTTCTAAGGCTTCTTAGAGACATTATGGTTTTAATGACAAACTGAAATCAAGGCTAAAATAAATGGAAGTACAATAAAGAGATTTTAGAAAATTATACTGAATAATATAAAACTGCTTGTCAGGTTTAGATGTAATTGTAAATAATTAACTAAATATTTGACAAAAAAACATTAATCAAATGGAACAATAAACTAAAATGCAATTATAAATGGTATAGTGGGTATGAAATATTTTACTATGGAAGAAAAGGGTTATTTTTTGTTTATTGCAACAGTTATTCCAGTTATATTATTGAAACTAGACCTTTTTTATGCTGTTCTCAATACTATTTTAACATTTGAAGGAAAAATATGTTTTTTATCCAGATTATTTTGTATTCTTAATCCACCATTTTAGTTAGATAAACATGCCACATTTCTCCCCTTTGTTCTTTCCAGATTTAGTGATGATGTAATATCCTTGTATCTCATTTAGATATTATTTCATTTTGTTCTCGCTCCTCAGTGTTATCTTCTCCATCTCCATCCCTGCCTTCTGTACCTGTGGGAGCATCGCGGTTTGGTGGGAACATGATTGTGGTGTTGGGTATTTCATTCTGCTTGGCAGTGATCATGGTGACTATAGTGGTGACTGTGTGGAGAAAGCTTTACCAGACTCCTCAGTGTAGCTCGGTCCATAGAGGCTCCATTCATCCCCCGGGGGGGCGCAAGCTTTCAGATGAGGCCTCCATCTGTGGCCACAGTCTTCAAAGACCCAGTCTTTCTGATGGTCATTTCCCATCGGCTGCAGTCATTCCCCAAAAACGACCCTCACTTGGAGCTCCGCCTCTCTCGCCACAGGCACCAGTGATGACACTTTCACAGGATCCAGAAAGGCTATCTCCCACAGGTCAGAAGGTGTTACCACCAATATTTGGGTATGTTCAAATATCTTTCCCACCAATATTTTTATCAGTACCTAATAGTGTTTGTTAAACCCTTTTTCATTTAATTAAAACTCTATGTTCTCTGTAGCTACCGTCTGGCTCAGCAGCAGCTAAAAGAGATGAAGAAGCAGGGCTTAAAGGAGGCCACCCAGCTGTACCATGTCTCCTCAAGCCCAGTCCATGACACTGTGGTAGAGACATGTGCCTCACCCACCACCTCCCCTGTTCCATCCCCTACTGGATTTGTTTGTTCTGCTCTACCTGTGGGTACGCAGGACACTGCTAACAGCAGCCATGTTGGCACATCTACTCCTCTGTCTGAGGCTTCACGTTCCAGAGTGGAGTTTGTTTCAGGTCCTTCTGACTCGGGGAGGAGCTCTAGATGGCGAGACCGCACAGCTGACTGGGTGGAGATGGTAGAGAGGAGTAAGATGGCCGGTCTTAGGGGAGGAGATGCAGTATCGGGGAATAGTTACAACAGGAATCCAAACTTCAGACGGACCTCCAGCTTTAATGACACCAAACTCCTTTCAACTTCCTCAGCTCAATCCGTGCATTTTAGAGAAAGGAGCATGACCCAGGTCACCCACCCATCCTTTTTTTATTTTTGTTTCTTCTAGTTTATCTATTCTTAAATCAATTGTTACAAGACCTATTAAGATGTGATTCCACATTTTCCTCCTCAGGTGGGATCTCGGACTCTTCCAGAAGGAAGTTCTTGGACCAAAGGGAAATGGGAGAGACAGCCTCACCCCTCTTACCCCATCCCTGAGCACAGAGTCTCAGATTGGAGTACAACAAAACCCCAAATTCACAGCCAGAGGAGGACTTCTCAAAATACTCAAGTCAAACACATGGGAACAAACACAAAAACCTCATTATCTGATAAACATGTTAAAGACTTCAGTGGCACAGGGGAAAGAAAGACGCTTGTCGACTCTGGAGGCAGAGGTGGAAATTTGGTCTCAGGGATCGGAGGTCCATCCCTCACACTCTCCTGGTCTCGTGAGGTGAATCATCTGGATGTAGAGCGAGCTGAGCGGGCTGAGCAGAACTGGAATCGGCGAGGCCCCTCACCTATCCAGGGAAACATCCTGGCCAGGAAACTGAAAGAAGCTCAGCTGTGCTCTGGAGGCAAAGGACGCCAGCGCAGCTCCAGCTTTAACATGTCTTCATCTGAGTGTAGGAGGGATTGGTGCCAATCACTGCCAATATCTAGAGACCAGAGCAGCAGTGGTGGCTCCCCCTACAGGCTGAGTGAGGCAGAACAGAGGATGCTGGACTTGGATCTGTCCCCAGTGTTTGTACAGAAGGAGTAGAAGAGCATATTACCCCTCATTTCCACTGGGTTACACTGCCATGTTAACATTATGGTAAAAAGAAAAAAAAAATACAACTAACTCTTTAACACTTTTAATGTATAATTTTGAATATTTGCAAGTTATGATAGACAATTTCACCCTTTCTGCAACGTCAAGCATCTTTAGAAGAACAACATCATAAAAAATCCAACACATGAAGGGTTTATATAAACTGTTAAGCCACAGTTTCAGTCATGCTGTGAAGCCTCAATGTTTATTGCTGTAGATATTGTGGTAATTTCTTCAGGGACCTTTAGAATCTGTATATTAATTTGTATATACTGGAGAAGCATCGATATGTGCACATGTTATATATATACTGTTAAACTGGAATTTCTTTTGAGATGTTCTACAGTGCCTTAAAAGATATGTACTGTGATTTTTTTAGACTGTCTTGCGTTACAACCACCAATTTTATAGTTTTTATGTTACATTATTTTAAGATTTTTCTGAATGGAACTGGTCACTCTGAGCTCAATCGAGAGGTTTCAGGATAAAAAAGGTTAAATAGACATGCACCTCCACAGTTAGACATTGTTGAAGACAAAAAATCCTTTCTCTTCTCTTCATAACTATTCTTTAATTTGCATCTCTCTCTTAGACCTCAAATACTTTTAAAATACATGATGTATGTTGTTTTGATGGGGCAAAATGTGAAATAAAAAAGTTGAGGGTTATCAATGCTTTTGAAAGGCACATAGGAATAGGAACACTGTTGAAGCAATTAAACTAAATACTTTTGTTTAAATATCAGATATTTATACATTCCTAATATGCTGAAATGTTTACTGTATAAAAAAACTCAATAAAATGTTGATCCTTTGAAATATGAGGAATCAAAACATCCTGTTTTCTTTGCTATTAAATTAATACAAAGCCCACATTTTTTAAATGTCCCCTTCTCCACTTCCTGCAGTGTCCAAAAACACCAGAGGACGAACCTTCATGGTGGTGTGTCTAAGGGAATACCAAAGGCCTTTCCAGGTCCCCCACACCACACCATTGTCATATTCAGCCTTGTACTTCCCCCTTCGATAGAATTTGCCATTGAGGTTGGCTGCATGACATCTGCAGATAGAAGGTAGTTTGTAGATGATACAGTGGAAGGGATGATTAACAATGTTCAAACAGTGAACAAAGAAAAAAATAAATAAAAATACCTGTTAAACCACCAACCAGCCTGATTCTCTTTGGCACAGCTCCCCTGAAGGAAGCGATCATTATCCTGAAAACAACAATGAACAGATTTTCCTTAAAAAGTGCAATAAGTAGCCATTTGAAGCCTGAAAAAGGGGGACATGCGTGGCTGACCTGATCTCTAGTGCTGAACTGCATGCCACTAAGGCAGGAAGACCACTGCTCCACCATCCCCCCACCACCAGTAAGAGCATCACCAGCTTTCCCACTGTATTGCCCATACTGGAGGCGATACTTATCCTGGAGGGAAAATTGGAAAATTTGTATTTCACAACAAAAAATTATAGTTGCATAAATACATATATATGTATATTGTTATTACAGCTTCATCTGTGATCCTGAAGTTTTCATAAAATGCATAACTTTTCTTTCCTTCCCAGTCCATGAGATCAATCTTCACCAGATTCTTACCTGCAGCGAGACCAAATAAAAACGTATATATTTTTAGACATTTATAGAAAATACTCTCAAATCTGTAGAATGTCAAGCCATGTGGTGTGAATAATTCAATCTTTTCAAAATGTTTTAAAACATTAATATGCAGATATTGTTAATAATTAAACTGATATAAATATGCTAAGAAAGAAGGATACAATGAATAAATTAATCTGAAAACTTTGCTGCCCTCTAGTGGTCGGGATTAGGACTGATTTAGCTATATCTGTTTTTTTTGGTATTTATATTAACAATCTATATAATTTAGCGTCTCTTTAGATATGATTTAATTGAATTAAATCATATCTAAAGATGTGATTTAAGTAATTAAATCACATCAAATCTAGGAATTTTGATGTTCCAATCAAAAAGGCTGCATTTGTATGAAGTTCGGTGTTGAGAAACTTGACTGTCTTATGCAGTTCCTCCCTCAGCCTTATAGAATACCTTTTGGATTATTAGAGTGAATACTTTAATTTAGATTTTTGTATTTCACTATGATAAATTTGACATTTAAAGAGTTTTTTTAATATAAAATGTTTAAAATAGTCTAGATATAGTGGCTAAGATTACCTACAAAATAAGTCAAATGCTGTCTTTTAATCTAAAAAAATGCTTTATTAGATAGTTTGTGTTGCAGCTGTTCTTTTTTTTTTTAGTATGTTATATGAAAGTGTGTTTTCCATATTTAGGATTTTGCTACATCCAAAAATCCTTGTATTTTAAAAGGTGTGTACAATTATTAAAGAGTGACTGCATGTAGATAAATGTAGATAATGGTCATTTTTTCTAACCTTCGGACAATAGAATGTTCATTTGCTCATTCCCCAACCAAAACTCATCATTCCATAGTTTAAAGTCTCCAAATCCGTCTCTGTAGTCCACCCAGTCTCTATGAGGATTAAACATATATTTCATAATAGATTGATCTGCTGCATGAATTCAGCAAATTTTACTTCCTTTTTTTCTTCAGAAAAAATTCATCTGGCAAAGTGCAGTACCTGTTAAAGTCAACTTTTCCATGCCGACGCCTCTGAAACACTGTCCACCCTCCTCCATCCTCCATATCACAATAGACCAAAAAAGGGTCCTGGTGTAATTTGGGTCTGATGCGGTAAAAGCCACTGGGTGATCTAAGTCTATCAAACAGTTGGGAGCAGTCTGTGGAAAACAACATTGTGAAGATCCTTGTACATTGTAAAGGCCTTCAAGTTGTAATTGCATAAGTATATTAAATATATAAAACAGCTACAATGTTTGTTTGAGAATATAATTATAAAAAAAAGATATTTTTTGTATTTTCTAATAGTGAAGGAAAGAGAAGAGATGCAGGTAAATAAAATCCATAGATACCAAAATCAGATTACAATAAAAAGCAAAATGTTATTCGGTTATATGTGTTTGTATGCTGTGGGGAAATTTGTTTGTGCCTTTGATATATATGTTAACAAAAAAGTGATAATAGTAAGCATGGTATTTTTTATAATAACAACTTAATGTTATAATATTTAATACTTCTTTATACTAGCTATAAGAATGACAATCATAAATAAGGAGCAAAAGTTAAATAAACAATTGACTTAAAGCAAAAATTAAAATTGAATCTATTTTCATTGAATCCCCTTGTATGCAGTAGTATTTTTTTGTGAAAATTAAATTCATTATTAAATATCTATTTTATTACTTACCTTTATCATAGACGATGAGATTTCCTGCAGGTGGAATTGATTTCATTGTTGTGTTTTCAGAGCTGCTGTTGTGGTTCAGATCAGGGGCTTGGTCAGTCTGTTGTTTACTGTCGGATCCTGCAAGCTGAGGTGATCTAAAGTATCTATGAGTTTGCAGATGCTCCACCTGCCAGGTTGTGAGCAAGAGTTTATTCTCCAGTTTCTTTATGCTGTTCTTAAGAGCTGCAACCTCTGGTCCGCATGGAGTAGTTGCCTATGAATTAGAAATTCAAAGTTAGAAAATTTAAGAAAAAAAAATGAAGTGCATACATCAGCATAATCCAGTGTTGATTCAAAAACAGACCTGCATATCCTTCTCAGCAGGTGCTGCGATTAACTTACATAAAGCTGCCCAGGAACTGCTGTAGCTGGGTAGACCAGATGCAGCAGCAACACTGCCATGGCATTCAACAGAAACACACTTCCAGCAAAATTAGTCTGAAATACATTCATTACACATTATCCACAAGGTTCATAATAAAAATAGTATTAACACCATCTTAATGAAATAAAACCTCATCCAACCTACCATTATTTCATAAAGCTTCCTCTTTGTTTTCTCCGTACTGACGTTCTCCCTCCTCTAATAATATGTCTGAACGATTTATAGATGGGGCTAGTTCTGCATGTTCCACATTAGGTGATTCAGAGCTGAACATTCCTTGAAAGTTTTTTATTTATTTTTTTATTTTGAAGCTCAAAGATGTGGCCGTGGTTATAAATCACACCTGATCCAAGAACTGACTCTGCCCTATTGAACAAAAAGTATTTGGAAGAGTTTATTCCTCACCTACTGTTCCCATGAAGCTGCAATCACAAATACAATCAAGATTTTTATATTTCAAAACAGAATTCAAAACAAAACTGGGGTATTACCCAATGGGAGTTTCTAAACTCACATTACCTATGTTGATCTTAGTTTTTTTTTATTTTAAATGTGTAAATATCAAAAGGTTGAGGAAACAATTTACTCAAAAATTATTTGGTTATTGGATTAAGGATTTAAAAAGTGCTTTGTTTTTCCGACTTTAATCTCAGAGTTGCGGATCTTAATGTAGATTAAGGAAGAGATGTGCGAGCAGTCAGCTTCACTGACAAAGATGTGAGTGGTTTGGGAGGGCCAGTGACACTTTGGTGGAAAATGATGGGATTAGGTGACTTTTTACATGCCCAAGGGGTCCCCGGTAATGTTATTCATTCCCCCAAACTACAGCAGTTTGGGGGAATGTGATTGAAACAAGCTAGTTAAGTCTCTAAAACAGACATGGCAACGGCTTGATGCTAACATGTTTGTTAGCTGTCGGAATTCAGTCAGAATTCTTAGATTACAATCAGAATTCTGAGATTAAAGTCAGAATTCTGAGAAAAAGTTAGAATTCTGAGATTAAAGTCAGAATCCTGAGAAAAAAGTCAGAATTCTGAGATTAAAGTCAGAATTCTAAGATTAAAATGAGAATTATGAGAAAAAAAGTCAGAATTCTGAGATTAAAGTCAGAATTATGAGAAAAAGGTTAGAATTCTGAGATTAAAGTCAGCAATTCTGAGAAAAAAATCAGAATTCTGAGATTGAAGTCAGAACTATGATAAAAAAGTTAGAACTCTGAGATTCAAGTGAGAATTCTGAGAAAAAAGTCAGAATTCTGAGATTAAAGTCAGAATTTTGAGAAAAAAAGTTTGAATTCTGAGATTAAAGTCAGAATTCTGAGGTTTTTTTCTCATATTATACAAAATAAAAATAAATGAAAATAAAAAATCTGTTAACTTTTTTAATTTCTTCAGTGGCCCTAATCCTCTTTCGTACTTATCAGCACGTTTCAAACGCGGATAAATTAGTTTTTGTGAGTCAGTAGTAGGTCATATCAAAAACATTTACAGAGAAATATGGCAAATGTTTGTCAATTTATAGCTTCAATCAGTGCTTTTGTGTTTTCGCAAAAAGAAGAGAAGGAAAGCCGAAAATATGCGCATGAAAAAAAAGAAAAAACGGGACGGTGGGGAATGCGCTTAATTGCAACCAGATGTGTGGAGAAGAGGGAAGAAGCTGCGCTCTGCTTGTTGGCCCAGTTTCTGAAGCTTCACAGGGTGTAAAAAGCTTCATAGGGCAGGTTTATGGTCAAGTTCAGTCAGACTTTAACCAAAAAAAGAAAAAAAGTAAGCAGAGAGGGAAAGATGAGTAACAGCAGAAAAGGGGGCTGAGCTTTTTCGTCAGTGAAGTTCAGGAAATGCGAGAAAGTGCAACGCTTGCAGAAAAAGATGAAGAATAGTGGATGATACAAAAAAAAAAAAAAAATCTACCCGGTTAACCTTCGAACTTTCTTTCTTTCTGCTCACAAGAAGTCACAAGACGAGCTGTCGAATAATTTCACGGATGCCACTTCTAACGGTAAGAGTGTGTTTATCTGTTAAGGGTTAACATGTGTGACTTGGGGCTTTAAATGTTCACATTTCTGCACTAAATACTCTTTATCAGTAAGTAAATGAATATGCAACGCAAATATGTCACATGTAGGAAAGGAAAGATATATTTTTTTGCACATATGTTACAGAGAGCGCTTTACATTCTGCATTAAAGGGTTTTGGGAAGAGTCCAGGAACACAAACTCATCATGTCCGTCTACTTTAATCCGGGACCAGATTCGGAAGTAAATGGGTGAGAAGAGCGATTTTATGTTAAGCTTTTATTGGTGCATGTGATTGAAACTCATTTGACAGGAATGTGTGATTTAATGCAGAGCTGCAGGGAGGTGGCCAGTCTGTCCTAAACAGAAACCCAGGTTACTGGGATTAATCTTCCTCCTGACACTTACTTCATCCACTCCCTTCATGGTTTAGGTTTAGAGAATTAGCTGGCCTTTCCTACGGAAGAGCATTAGGGCCACTAAAAAAAAACTGAAAAAAATCTGACAGAATTCTGACTTTAATCTCAGAATTCTGACTTTAATCTCAGAATTCTGACTTTAATCTCAGAATTTTGACTTTAATCTCAGAATTCTGACAGATTTCTGACTTGTTTTCCTCAGATTTCTGACTTGTTTTCCTCGGAATTCTGAATTTTTTTCCATATTAAACTGAAATAAAATTTGAAAACCAAACCTTTTTTTAATTTTGTCACTGGCCCTATTCCTCTTCCATACTTTCCAGCACAGTGACAGCATGGTGATGAAAGCAGGATTGGGGGTACTGATCCCTGCTGGAAAATGAAATCAGCAAAGGGATGTGTGAGGTACTCTGAAACAGGGACAGAGCCTCAGCAAATCATTGGCCACCCTTGTGGCCACCCCTACCATTTCCCCCCCTCTAATACAGACAGTGGCAGCAGTAATACTCTCAAAAGGAATATTCTAACTTATTTAACATTTACATTTTACATACACTATATTGCCAAAAGTATTTGCTCACCCATCCAAATTATTGGAATCAGGTGTTCCAATCACTTCCATGGCCACAGGTGTATAAATTCAAGCACCTAGGCATGCAGACTGTTTTTACAAACATTTGTGAAAGAATGGGTCGCTCTCAGGAGCTCAGTGAATTCCAGCGTGGAACTGTGATAGGATGCCACCTGTGCAACAAATCCAGTCGTGAAATTTCCTCGCTCCTAAATATTCCACAGTCAACTGTCAGCTGTATTATAAGAAAATGGAAGTGTTTGGGAACGACAGCAACTCAGCCACGAAGTGGTAGGCCACGTAAACTGACGGAGCGGGGTCAGCGGATGCTGACGCGCATAGTGCGAAGAGGTCGCCAACTTTCTGCAGAGTCAATCACTACAGACCTCCAAACTTCATGTGGCCTTCAGATTAGCTCAAGAACAGTGCGCAGAGAGCTTCATGGAATGGGTTTCCATGGTCGAGCAGCTGCATCCAAGCCATACATCACCAAGTGCAATGCAAAGCGTCGGATGCGGTGGTGTAAAGCACGCCGCCACTGGACTCTAGAGCAGTGGAGACGCGTTCTCTGGAGTGACGAATCGCGCTTCTCCATCTGGCAATCTGATGGACGGGTCTGGGTTTGGCGGTTGCCAGGAGAACGGTACTTGTCTGACTGCATTGTGCCAAGTGTAAAGTTTGGTGGAGGGGGGATTATGGTGTGAGGTTGTTTTTCAGGAGCTGGGCTTGGCCCCTTAGTTCCAGTGAAAGGAACTCTGAATGCTTCAGCATACCAAGACATTTTGGACAATTCCATGCTCCCAACTTTGTGGGAACAGTTTGGAGCTGGCCCCTTCCTCTTCCAACATGACTGTGCACCAGTGCACAAAGCAAGGTCCATAAAGACATGGATGACAGAGTCTGGTGTGGATGAACTTGACTGGCCTGCACAGAGTCCTGACCTCAACCCGATAGAACACCTTTGGGATGAATTAGAGCGGAGACTGAGAGCCAGGCCTTCTCGTCCAACATCAGTGTGCGACCTCACAAATGCGCTTCTGGAAGAATGGTCAAAAATTCCCATAAACACACTCCTAAACCTTGTGGACAGCCTTCCCAGAAGAGTTGAAGCTGTTCTAGCTGCAAAGGGTGGACCGACGTCATATTGAACCCTATGGATTAGGAACGGGATGTCACTTAAGCTCATATGTGAGTCAAGGCAGGTGAGCAAATACTTTTGGCAATATAGTGTATGTTAAGAGTTACTTGACAACAAAAACACTTTGGCTAAATATGAACATCAATATACCAAGATGATAAATACAGAAATCATGCGCTTTTCAGAACTAGATTTTATCACATGGGGTAAAGAGAAAATTATGTTTCTGCAAGTCTTCTGAGTCTTTAGTGAAATCTGAAAAAAATAATTTCTTTAATAATAACTAATCCATTGAATTTAGATATTAGTACATGTAGATATTCATTTCATGCTGAACGATTTTTGATAAAAGAAGATAAGTAATGACAATGAATAAGATGTCCACCCCCAAACTCAAACGGGAAAGAATTTTGGCCACTACACCTTTAATTTAGACATCATAGATGTTTAAATATATGCGTCTATTTGTTAGCAATGGCTGTAGGAAAGTATAGTTGGTCGTTATTTAGAAAATATGGGTGTTTTGCTTGTTAATTTTCCTGTTAGAACAGTGCAGATTGACCCTTATATTCTGGTGCCTATCCACTTTCGGCCCCCCCTCAGTGTACATTGGTTATTGCCTGGCCACCCTTATTTAAATATTCTGGCTACGCCTCTGCTCTGAAATGAATTTGAAAATAGGACTTTGGACCAATTGAAAAGTGTCCTGCCCTTTTTTCCTCCTTACCCAGATACGTTTCTGGAGGTAGAACGTAGCTCATTCTAAAGTAACCTTAATATCTTGAGGATTTCCTGTTACAGTTAACTATTGTTTTTGTGTATTCTTTTTTTTTTTTCTTCAACCCAAATTTTTGTCACAAAACTTAAAAAAACAGCACCCTGAATAGATACAGCATTGTATCCATTTATGGTGCGTAATAAAGATGATGCATAATATATCACCATTAATATCTATAACAGCAGATGTTTGTTGGTTTTTATCACATCACTATATGGATATATATTTATATCAGATGGAAAGTGTTAATAATCACATTAAATTCCCATATTTTCGTTATCCTGAAGGGGGCGTGGCCATTGTTTGCGGGGAGTGATGTAGTCTAGAGTTTTGGGTTGTTTAAGGCAGATAAACATGTGATAAACAGTGGTGTGAAAATTTTAATTTTTCAGTTTCAAAAGAATAGAAAAGATAAATATATATTGGTTTTCTTTTTTTCTATAATATCTCATATCAATATAGGGTCATTTTTTTATATTGATGCATCCCTAGTAATTCATTTTTGAATTTAATTACTAAATCTTTGGTTTGGAAAAAAATCCTTGAAATGCACCCATCAGTCTAAAATTAGTTCTGTTATTGTGTTATGTGTTTATCTTAATTATTTTTTTTAAAATCAGAAACATCACAAAGATGGAAGATGCAAAAGTGGAAATTGATGATGGAAAGGAGGAGAGCCCGCTACCAGACACTATGTACCAGTGAGTGCATTTTCAGCATTTCTGTCCGATTTGAACAGAATCATGTTAATAACCACCCTGATGCTTTTATTTCCTCATTTTACAGCAACATTCGGAAAAAAGTCGCTCCATTTGTTATGTCCTTTGGCTTTCGGTGAGGTTGGGGTTAAATTGTAATCAATGTTTTCATGCTTTCCTGTTTTTATTGAAATAATTTGGATATTTTTTTTCTAAATACCTTTAGTGTATTTGGGATGGTGCTGATAATTGTAGACTTTGTGCTGGTGATTGTGGACTTCTCACTGCCAAACAAGAACAGAGAGGTCGGAGACGCTTTAGAAGCAGTGTCTCTCACCATCTCCTTCTTCTTTCTGGCTGATGTTCTCCTACGGGTTTATGTGGAAAGGTGAGCAGAGATTACTTTGTATTAGACTTTGTTTTATTCCCAGTAATATTGATTGCAAGACTTCCTGCACATATAAATTATTATAACTTGCATATTCTTTGTCCCTATAAACTGAAACGGAATATGTCAATACATGTAAATGGTATTTAATTTAATTCATACTGTTATTTATTTTTAATGACTCCTATAATGTCTTTCTTCTGCAAAAGTTGCATTATTCATTTGTATTCTCAACCTTCCCATACTACTTGCATTTGTTTTGTTTTTTTTCTAAATTGTATATTCCTGGATTTATTTATGTCTACTTATTTATGTCTACAATGTTATTGTGTTGTCTTTGTTTATCCATGTAGCCTTTTTCATGCTGGGTACTTGTTAAGTGTCAGGACCAACAACTGGGACTTAGGTGTGTGTTGATAATAGCTAGGATAGGGATGTCGGTTACGCCATAGAAATTAATACAGTAGTAGTAGAAGTCAATGGCCAGCCCCCACAATGATAGTGTGACACAACAGAGTGTATGTGCGTGGGGGATGTGTACTTGTTTATACGTTTTTTGGTATATTTATCGACTATCTGAGGACCAACAAGTTTTATGAAGATGTAAATCAGGTTCTAATCCCATTTGAGAGATTGGTTTAGAGGTCTGTGGGATTTAACATTGGAATAATCAACTACTACAGTTAGAAACCACTGATTAAGGCTGAAATCTCGCTGTCCAGATGGACTCAGACCTGAGCCTTCAGAGGCACATAAAGGCAGTTATTAAATCAGCCTTTTATCACCTGAAGAACATTTCCAGGAGTAAATGACTGTCCAATATTACCTAGAAAAGCTCATTCATGCATTTATCCTTAGTTGAATTGATTACTGCAAAAGTGTCTTCATTGGTTTGCCTAAAGGTCACCAGACAGCTGCAGCTGATGCAAAAAGCTGCTGCCCATGTTCTCACTAGGACTATGAAAGTAGAGCACATCAGCTCGGTTTTGAAGTCATTTCACCTGCTCCCTGTATCTCAGACGAAAGATTTTAAATTCATTCTATAGTCTTAGTCTATTAACCACTTAATGGTTCAGCACCTCAATACATGACAGATTTGTTGTCAGTGTATAAACCCTCCAGACCACTCAGGTATTCTAGTTCCAAACTACTCTGTCCACCCAGAACTAGAACCAAATGTGGAGAAGTAGCATTTAGTTCCTTTGCTCCACTGATCTGGAACAAACTCCCAGAAGACTAAAAGTGCTGGAAGCCTTATTTCTTTTATTTCAAAGTTAAAACCCATTTAACTGCCTGTTAAAGTTAAGGCTTAACTGAGGTATAATTAGTTTAAGGTCGTGGTCCAACTGTTATATTTGATATACCTGTTTTTTTATTGTTTTTATCTTTTTTATATCCCATTTTTTTCCTTCTATTTTAATGTTTAATTAATGTAGAGCACTTTGAATTGTCTTTTTACTAAATTGTGCTATACCAATAAACATACGTTACCTTAACTTTAGTTTAAGGACAGGAATATACTGGTAATGGTTGGGTTAAATGTCAACGTTGGGCATAAATCCAGTAACTAAAACAAATGGCAGATAGTCCTTATGAGTAGAAACAGAAACCTTATCACCAAAACAAATTCCTTGCATGTGTTAGGCACCGCTTGGCAATAGAGCAGTTTCTGATCCTACATAAATTATTTAACTTAACTGTTGCCCCTCAAGTCCCTTCCTATGAATGAAGAAGCAGAAAAAATACTGAAAAGCGTTGCAAACATTCCCAAGCTCCTGTGTCAGCAGAACTGTGAGATTAGCTGTTGAGCAGGAAGTGGTGAAGAGGAAGCTCTACAGGAAATGTGTACCATGCGTTGGGCTGATTCTTTGGAATATCAGTTCAGAGTCACTTAATGCATCCAATTAATTTTATTAACAACCACCAGTACTGTACAGGAACAGCTTGTGATCTGTTCCTTTTTTAAATGAGCATTTGGGAATGCATTACTCACTGTTGGCTCTCTGTTTTAGCTTTAAAGTGTACTTCAGCTCCAAGCTGAACATTGTAGATGCCTGTGTTGTCGTAATCACGCTGATCGTCACAATGATCTACACCTTCAGTGACCTGTCAGGGGCCAGCCTGATTCCCAGGTGGGTGCTCTGGCCTCTCAGCTGTTGATGTTACTGTTGTCATCTGATCTTTAGCTGTGGTCCACCACAGATATGGCAGATGATCTGTACAATCTTGAACGTGACGGCAATATGAAATGTCATTTGCTTTTAAATCAGGACACATTTTTGCTGCACCATACCCATAAAGGTTATAGCTTTTTATGTTTGTAATTTTCATCATGTTTAAGATCTTGTTTTAAATTGGCATATTGTCATTTTTATGTATTTTATTTTGTAGTAATAATAATATTAATATTTTTTTCCCTTCTAAAATGATTTTGAATTGGCTTGAATATGAATTTTGGTATAGACAAATAAGCTTTGTGAGTGTCAGAAAATGGCTTCTACCATACTAATGTGTTCATCTTTCTTTGACAGGGCCGTGACATTTCTGCGCTTCTTGCGAATAATCATCTTTGTGAGGATTTTCAGGCTGGCATCTCAGAAAAAAGAGCTGGAGAAGGTCACTAGGAGGATGGTATGTTCATTTTCTGTAAGCCAGAGAAGAAATGAATGGCAGACATATTTACACACTCTGTTTCCTCCTATTGTTAGGTTTGGCTATAAGAAATGTTTTTTTGTTTTTTTTCCCCAGATATCTGAGAACAAGAGGCGTTATCAGAGGGATGGATTCGATCTTGATCTAACTTATGTAACAGGTGAGGGTATTTTTTTTATTTTTATTCTATTTTATTTAGAAATAAATCAATATTAAAGTTGGCATGTTTTATTCTACATAATGTTCAGTAGTGTGAAAAGTTAGGACATCTCAAAGATTAATTTCTTATCAAGTGGGAACGCTTAAGCATTCCCACTTATTGTTTTTCTGTTTTTCTTTATTGTGTGAATGCTGTAGGCATTCACACTATTGAGATCCTGTTTCTCTTTATTTATTGTGTGAATGCTGTAGGCATTCACACTATTGAGATCCTGTTTCTCTTTATTTATTGTGTGAATGCTGTAGGCATTCACACTATTGAGATCCTGTTTCTCTTTATTTATTATTATTCTTATTCTGGTTGCTCCGTTTTTTGTCATTTAACTAGTCCTTCATACTTTGTGCTATTTCAACCATTCAACTTTTAAACTATTCAACTTAATTAGTACAATTCTGCTATATCTTTTTACTTTTTAAACTTTTATACTTTTTAAAATATTTAACTTTTTATGCCTTTTTTTCTCCCATAGGAATGAATGTAAAATCAGAAAATTTCCACAAAATTTCAGCAAATCTTCAACTACTTTGAGCTTTAACTACTTCAGCATACTTTCAGCTAGAAACACCATTCAACTTTTAAAATGTTTCCGTATCTTTTTGCTATTACTGTTTAACTCGGCTTTCAGCTAACTTTTACAGTTTTGCTTCAGTGAAGCTTCAAACTTTTAAACAATTTTTACAGATTTTCAAATTTATAATGGAAGTCTATGGACGGAATGTTCAGCTGCTAGAGTGTGCCACTCTAGCGTTTTCAAACATTTCACTCATGCCGAACAGCTTCAACTCACTCGCTCATTTTTTACCCTATCTAGATAAATTTTACATCAAAACGTAGGGATTTTTGTCAGGATTCAGGAAATGTAACCCTCATTCGTGTGACATTTACGGTTTTCCGACAGTTTGGCCCAGACCACGAAGAAGTCCAAACTTCTCCAATAGAAATCCAATGAGAGCTCTCTGAAAATCCGAACTGAAAATTCAAAAAAACAGACTTTTTCGTATCGCTCCCATTCGGGAACCGTTCGACGTAGCAACACGAGCCTTGTGGAAGTTGTTCCTCAGACCTTCCTAGCACTCACATTGAAGGAAGTGTGTCGATATCTTTTATCGTTTAGCTAGGAAAAAGGTTTGTTCGGGGGTAACAAATCTGTCCGAACCCCAAAATCAGGATTTTGACAATTATATACTTTTTTACATCGTCACCACGCCTAGACGAAATATTGTAGAAATATGAAAGTCACCCCAGTTGTAGTCCAAAAATGGG